TTATTTTGTATGTATGTGTGTAATAAAAAGCCAGAATTGCGAAAAAATTTACCTTTATAACATTTAAAATTAATTAAAAATATATATTTATATAGAAAATTTAATATTTTTGTATATGTAATATTTATATAATTTAATATTTCGCAGATACAATTTTCGATAATCTTACCGTAATACTTTTATGTTCAGAATAATGAGACAAATCAATTAGTATAAAAAAAATAATTTTTTTAAAGAAAAAGTATGTAATTATTTTCAATGTATTTTTTAAAACAATTATTTGTCTTTTTTTATACCAATTGATTTGTCTCATTATTCTGTACATAAAAGTATTACGGTAAGATTATCGAAAATTAAATATTTTCCAAGATATCTTATTTTTTATATCAAAATATGTCAGATTAAGATATAAAATAACTCAAAAAGTACTTAATGAAAAAATATTTTATTATAGTGTTTTAAAAAGCTCTTGAGATAAACTACAAGAATATGCAATAAAAAGTAGGGGTTCCCGTTTAAGATTTCAAAGTTACCCCCAGCCCCACCCCCAGGGGGGGTGGTAGGCGGCTAACTTTTGCGGGATGGTATTGCCCCCTCGAAAATATTGAGGGTTTATTTGGAACATTTTTTTCGTACAATGCTTATTTTTACAGATATTTTGCAGTCTAAAGTTAAAAAACTCACCCTGTATATTTTATAGTACATAAAATATTTCGGCAGCGATTTAGGATGTAAAATTATATTAAAACGATGCATGACAAACGGTTTCACGACCGTAAACGAGCGTAAAATTACGCTTAAGCACCGGCGATAATAATTAGCCAGCAACAGAAGGAATTTCTCTCCTTTATTGATCTCTGATAGAGATCGAAGCTACATCTCTGGCTGGATGTAGTCAGAATAAATATGGCCAGGATCAACGAAAGGTAGGTCCATCTGGCCCAACGGAAGCATCATAGTTGACCGATATCTTCAAAAGGCGCAAATAATACACATGTTGGATAATACATATGTTTGCGCAATTCTATGTGCAATGGCACATAACGAAGAATGCTACCGGTGCATTCTATTAGGATACGCGAATAGGACACGCGAGTAGGACACGTGATTAGGGCATGCGAGTAGGGCACGCGAATAAGGTACGCGAGGTAGGGCACACTCTCCAATCTTAGGTGATCACAGATTCCCGCTGGCTTAGCCAGCAAAAATAGGATTATTAGGATTATCTTAAGGAATTGAATGCTTGCTAGGAATTAAAAAAATGCTAAGATTATTAGGATATTAAAGAGCTAAACATAAGGAGAAAATATAAATAATATAAAATTTAAATTTGATTTTATGCAAATTTAAAAAATTATATTGCAATTATTTTTAAAGATAATAAAATTTTTTTAAATAAATCTTTATTATGTACAAAATAGAATGTAATACACATATATGTATTACATTTTATTTTATAGATTTAAATTAGTATATATATAGATATATTTATTATATTGTTATGTATATTTATGTAATATTGAACTTAAATGTAAATGCTGTCAGTAACAAATTATCTATATATCGGATATATGATATGATCGGATACTGATAGCATCATTAATTGTAAAATTTCGCGCAAATTTCAATCTCGTGAATTAAAGATAATGACAATGGTAACTGTCATTGATTTGTCACCGAAATCATTGCTATCGGGAGTAGTCTGGAAGATCCGGGATTCGTTCCCTCCTACAACGGGGTTTCTGATATTTAAACGGTACATATATTTTATTCTCAATCGCGAAATTTTCATAAAATCACGCATTTGGAAATTAATCGGGTATTAGATTTTATATTTATAAATATCTTATATTACAGATGCGATTATAAAAGGCGCTCCTAATGTCCGTTGAAACATTTTTGTTTAAATATATAGTAATTATATCGTTCTTCTGATTGTTCTAAAAATTACATATACGTACATTGAAATCGAATATTACGGTTATCGTCGATTTATTTATTCGTCGCGTTTTTTTCGCAATTTTAAATCGCGGTTTATCTTGTGATTTGATCGTTGATTTACATCGAAGCTTCATCTATATTTTCTCAGATATTTTTTTGAAAGTCTACACAAAATGCGCCAGTAGTCTAAGTACTTTTTTCTACAATTAAAAAATGATTGATAACTTTATTAACGGCTTTTTTGGTCATAGTTGTTTGCATTATATAAAACATAATAAGCTTTGTAATCGCATAATAATTATTAATTATGAATATTGCATTAATTGTTACTTATCAACTATATCTGATCTAAACATTTCTAAATAGTGTTTTCGAGTGAAGCAAGTTTGATCGTTTTGAGATTGATTAATGACGTCATATACTTTGTCTTGGGTTATTAGGGGTCCTTGAATTATTATATAGCTTAATTAATGGAATAGTTTGAGTAATCATTTGATTGATTAATCAGGGCAAAAAATCTTGTACTTTAAAGACAAAACAGCGTCAAAAACGGAGAATGTACTTTATATTATTTATATAAATCAGATTCTCTCAAAACCTATTTTTGATCAAATATATATTCATCGTAAACCGCGTTTAAGCGATTAAACTTGCTTCATTCAAAAACGCTAATAAGTTATCGGTAGGGTCACCCATGCCGGACAGGTCGAAGGGGAAGGGTCAGACTAAGAGAGATACTCTGTAGTTATATTTTTTATATTAATATTTTTAAATAAAATCAAAATGAAAAAGACAATAATAGAGAAAAGGGAGTTTCAGTCATTTTTGAAATTAATGTTGTATAAATACATATCTAAATGTCCTGAGAAAAGTATTATTTTTGCATTTCCGGCCTTTTAATTAAAATTCTGAATGGAATTCAACAAGATAGAGAAAACACTTCTAACATTTTATATGCTAAAAAAACAATATTGCACAAGATATCGCGATTTTTTGATATTTTATGACATTTTGCAAAAATCTGATAGCTGATAGTATCACCGGCGATTATATAAACGTGAAAAAATTAATTAACGCTGTCAACAATTAAAACTACTTAAAAAACAATAGAACATGATTAAAACTATAGGTAAATATAGTTAATTATGCTTATATAAATTTGCCTATAATAGCTTTTAATGTGCATCGGTGCGCACTAGTACATCCAAAATTAGGAAAAAATTATTAAGAAAATTTATTTAAGAAAATTTATTTCATTTTACATGCACATATACATAAAAATATTTCAATTATAATTTATTATCGCTGTAGTATATACTAAAAGGACAAAAACATCATCTAATAAAACATTAATAAATCCATATTTCTCCGCATTTTTGATCCACAATGTTTAGCACCAGTTATATAAAAGATCTATACATTTTTGATAATAAAACAATAACTGGATGAACTAAAACAAAGCGTAGCGAGTTTTTTTTTCCGGTCACACTAAATCCCATAAGACCCCCGTCTTTAATGATATCGTCGGTGGCACGGATATGCACCAACCGGTCATTTTACCATGGCATCAAAAAGTGAATCTGGCCATGTACTTCCGCCGGCTCTAAAATGGATCCAGTTAGCGCCACTGTACTAGCTAGGAAAACGGTCTCGTGAAAAACGGCGGCGTGACCCCTCTCAGGCTTCTCTCTGGTCGTAGTTATATATGGATATAATAACTTCAACCCATAAATGATAATAAATTTTATGAACAAAACGACTCCGAAAATATGGCCGATTCTCTTGAATCATTATGTAAATACGTAACGAAGGATATGCGGCAATTTTGAATAAGGGTTATTTAAAAGAAAGTTAAGTCATGAGCCTTTCGCAACCCATAATGCAATGCAAAGAATCGATGTGTGCGCAGTCGCTATTGAAAAAAGATGCTAAATAAGGTAGACTGTTATTGGCTCTCGCGGCCTTTCGCAATGCAGCTTAAAGAGCATATTAATGTTGTTTTTGTATTCATGCATCTCGCACATTCGCACTTTTTATGTCTATATCTATTTAAAAAATTAACAATCGTTTTTCAAAACAAAAATTAATTTTACAATTATTTTAAGTTATTGTTTATTGGACTTATACTCCTGGTTTCAGTCATCTATAAATTTAATTGTCTTAATGACTGTCTAATTTATAACAAAATAATGCCCAAACTAAAAAATCGATGATTTTGCTAATTTATGATACAACGCGTTCATGGCACTTCTACAGTTTTTTTTTTTTCTTGAATCCTTGATATACTAACAAAATTTACAAGCTTCCTACATAATTTTATGTCTAAAAATGACAATGGCACACATGTTTTTATAATTTATCGAAAGGTTTTGCACAGTTTCTTTAATTTTGTCATATATAGTCATTTTGTTGAAATAGTACATGAAAAAAATCACGATTTCTTAAACATAATTCAAATTATTGCATTATTGAAATATTTTTAATAAGCGTTATGTATGTATCGATGTATGTTTTGTTATTTTCATTCAACGTATTGGATCAAATTGCATCTTTCTGTTTATCTTACAATTAAATTGCCATAAATCTTCAAAATGTTATTACAATCGCTATTTCTAAGTTGCAAGATCGATGGCGTGTCAATCTTATCAATCGCTACAATTTCCGCGATCTCACTTTGACCCAAAGTCCACCGGTTGCTCTGACTGTCATCCGGAACTTGGCTATCACTTTTTCCTTGCCGAAAATCGGTTCTAATCGACACTTCCTCAGAACTGAGCTGATTATCGATTTTATTTCGAGCATGGCAAATTTATATCCTAATAAAGTGGGAAGAGAAACATACATTTTTTACATACGTAGTATTTTTCTTTTTTTTCCAGAAAAAATTGACAAGTTTACTCTACAATAAAAATATTAAAGATACCAAATTTTTTTAGCAAAAGTGAATGTATACCTAGTATCTTCATTTTACGAATTTTTTTTTTTTTATACAGCCTATGATATATTTATTGTTAGATTTGTTTCTCTTACCAATGCAATTACGAGGACCGGCGCTAAAAGGTATATAGGCGTAGGGATGTCTTCCTTGAGAGTTCTCGGGACTAAAACGTTCCGGCTTAAAATCGTGAGGATTAGAAAAATGATGAGTCAAACGATGTGTGCTGTATGGTACTATAAATACACCGCAACCGGCTGGTATCACATGCTTTCCTATGCGAATAAAAAAAAAACATTATTCTTTTGATTTACAATAATTTCAAAAGCGATTTAATCCTCAATCGTTCGTCACTTATTTCGAGAGAACTTATTTTTATTTTATATATGACACAGAATGTATTACGCGCATGATTACAATAATTTTTATTATCTTTACTAGCAGTCTCTTATACTTTACTGAATATCCACAAATAGTATATTGAAACAAAGAATACATTATTTGTTAAAAATTTTGAAATTTTTATATAACGTATATGATATAATTTTGAATAAAAGAGCTAAATAATCATATGATATAATCAAACTCGGAAAACTTTCTATCACTATATAAATATATAAAGTATCTGCGACATAACAACGAAGTAAAATATAATTGAGATATGAAATCTTCTCTTGAAAAATCTCACCTATTCTCACATCTTGTCCAAGTGTCCTGGCAAAAAGCGGAACGCTAGGGTATAATCTCAAGGATTCCTTGATGCACATGTCCAAGCACTTCATCTCCCTAAGATCCTGCATAGTAGGTGATCTCTCGTCATCACCGAAGATTTCATCCAACTCCGCGATACATTTCTCCTGCCATGTAGGATTATTCGCCAATAGGAAAAGCGTCATCGCGGTAGCGGTACCGACCGAGTCTTGGCCGGCTAGCATAAAAGTGCAACATTCCTCGATGATGTCCTGGTCGGTGAAACGAGGATTTCTCTCGTTGATTTCGACCATGTACTCGAGCAGGGATATTTTTCTGCCTTCCGCGCTCATTGTTTCGTCATCGATAACGAACGAACCGTTCTGTCGTAAAAGCTCGCGCTTCTCTTTCATCTTTCTGAAGCAAAAGTCAAACAGATCCTTCTGTTGCTGTTCCTCTGATTTCCCGGCTGCCGTCAATCGGTAGACCCAATCAATTAGCAACCATGGCCGCGCGAATCTGTACGGCACCATAACTTGGCCCCTGTTTTAAAAATACGTCGATGTTGATGATTATCACCATTTATTCATTGCAACGTATAGAATGTGCGAAAAATCGGAGACCTTGGCAGAAATTTAGCATAAAGAGCTACAGTAACATGTATATTGAAATTCGTGAAATTATTAATACCGCATACTAAAAAAAAGGTTGTGAAAATTTTTAATTTTATATTTAATTAAGATGAATGCTCTTTCGTAAATATCAAAGCACAATTTCTTTTGCATTTTGAAATTTACTAATTAAATAGTTTGCTATAATTAAGCCATCTCTACGTTCCGCGTTGTACTTTACTTTCTGAATGGCGTGTCATCCTCGACGTTGCTGCTTCTTCGGCTCGCCTTCATTCCCAAAACCGTCTCTGTAAAAATAGTCATTATTCAGATAAGTCGATATTTAGCATCGGAATAAAAAATATCATCACCTATACGGAATGTCGAAACACATGATAATGGAAATTTTAAATGCACACGTAGTATCACTTTAAAGACATTTATTTTAGCGATACGCGAATATTAAGAAGTCAACAAAGCCATACGCGGTTATGCACTACTGTTTAAACATTTCTCGCTTTATCTCGTTCTCATGCTAATTAGTACGCACTCGCTATATAAGCACGCGAGTGCCACGTTTGTAAGGCGAGATGTTTTAGCATACAGACCATTCACAATTCGTATCGATTTCTACGGCCAAACACAATCACCGTGAATCATCATCATCGTGCAGCCTACATTTTTATTGCGCGATGCGTTTACGTTATTGCATTTGGCACGGGCACGCGTGCCAATTCATCATGCGCGCAGATGCTATTAACCTTTTTTTTTGTTATTTATTCTACGTTTGCATTTCACGAAGCAGAAGACGTACTCGAGAATCGGCAAAGCTCTTCTAACTCGGTTTTGCAAGTCAAATATCTTTGCAAGTTCAAATATCTACCTCCTTCTTTCGAATGTGTAAAGAAGATAAAAAGTAAATGTTTTTACATATCTCTTAAGTAGGTCAATTAGCATTTCTGTCATATATCATTCTGTCATTTTGCAAATGAATCGAAGAGGAAATTGCGATTTTAAAGAACAAGCAATTTCCTCTTTGATATCTTACGCAAGGTATTTCATAATATTGCAGAAAGAGATTATTTTCTTAAATCTTATGAACGTATAATGATAAAGATATTTATTATGAAAATGGAATACTTTTATAAATTGCAAGTTGTTTGATTCATTGATCGTTATAATGCTTACTCAAACAATTTATTATTACATACCGATCAATATATCGTAAACCGAATTGTTGACGAACACGGTGATGTTCACCTCTTTTCCGTCTTTCTCGAGCAGTTTATCGACTAGATGATGAGCGTATTTGCCGAATGTTCCTACAAATCTTTCGAGTATGTGAAAATGGAAGGCCGGTTGCAAGATTTTCCGGTGTATTCTCCACTTGTCGATCTCCCGCGTGATCAGGCCTTTACCCAAAAAGTTGTCGAGCAATTTGTAAAAGACTATCTTTCGTGTGTGCTTCATACTGCTCAGCACCACTTGAATATCCTCCGGCTCCACGAGCACGACGTACGGCAAAAGCGTTATCCATATCCGGAAAACGCGTCCGTAACTCTGTGCCTCATTTGTCATTCTCTCAATCACTGAAAAAAAAATTTAGATATACGAGAAATAGCATTGCGTTCGAACAATTGATTCGCGCGCGCGTATTATTATAAAATTTGACAATTTTTTTTCACATATTAATATAACACGCGATGTTTATCTTTTTGTTATGATAAATGTTTGACAAGCTAAAAAAGTAAAAGCTTCTTTAGTCACTTGCCGTTGCGATTTTCACTCGAGCGTAATCAACATGAAAAGCTATTCGCGTAGCTGGATAAAATAGCATATACAGCCGAATCATTTTTAATTAATTAATGAAAAACATTATTAATTTCAATCAATAACATCGAATCACTCACGGTTTCCTTCAAGAATGGTATTTGCATTGCCAAGAATGGGCACTGTCTTCGGTCCATCGAGGGTAAAAATAAATCTGAGGATCCTGATGTAATCCTTCAATACGTATATTACGTAGATAATAATTAGAAAAGCAAGGCAGGTCCACATCTCGCCTGGTGTACGATTCAACTGGTTATATAAAAGAAAAATATGATGTCAAACACATAACGCGTATGTGATAAAAGAATAAAGAAAGAAAAATATTTTCTCTTTACTTAACAATGAATGCTATTAATTATTCAATTTCATTTACTCTCTCGTATAATTCTCGTATGCTCACACAAAAACATTGCAATAAAATTTTATTGTTCGTCACTTAAATCGAACGTGCTAAGAGGAAGTTGCAAATGAGAAGAAAACCGATTATTTCGTAAATGTGTTTGATTTAACTTTATTGCTTATAATTTTCATAACTCCTTCCTGCTTTTAATCTGTCACTTTCAACATGTACAACGCAAGGATTTTGTTGAATTGATGTCTCAGCGTTATTTTGCTTACTGTTGCACCAGTAGTGGCTATAAAACATGACAAGTTTTGTAATCCGATAACAATATATGTATAAATTCGCATTCATGATTTTTCTGATATATTAGTATATGTTCTACGATTACAAAAATTATATATTGTAATTTTTATTATAATATTTTCTCCGTGATAGAAAGCAGAGAAAAAAATATTGTAATATTATCGTTCTCTGTCGTACTCGCACATATATCAATTTTAATTTTTCTCTTTTGATATTGAGTACTAATTCATCATCTTTAAAAATATAAATTACAATATTTAAAACACACACGATATGCTCTTTTTGAATATAAAGTGATTAGATAAATATTAATTATTTATTTAGATGAGTTTTTAGAGATTTATTTAAATATCATTTCTCCAAAAATTTGAATTGTGAAACATACGCATTCAATCGTAAAATATTCGTAGCCTCAAATAAACACACACACACACACACACACCGTATGTGCAAGTAATATGCATCCGATCGTCGACGACATCGCATTGTCGCGAATAGCATTGATTCGCCCGCCAAATTCCACGAGGGACATTTACTTCGTCGCATTAGTGATTCAGAATAGGACATCTGTTAATTGACGTATCGAAGCATGCGAAGTAAAGTGTGCCGCGAGCAATCGCATATACCGATCGCATGACAATAAGTTTCATAACAAGGGTACAACCGAAAATGTTAATCGAGTTTATCCAATGTGTATTAACTTTGTCAAGCTTCTCTGTTGAAATACTCATTACGTCAATTACTTTAGGCTACGTGGAGATACGAGAAAAGATATGAGAAGAATACAATTTTTTTGAAAGAATTCTTTTTTCCGATTCGATATCTTCGCGTATATCGTTGGAAAAATAAATAATATCGATATGATATTTGAGCTTGTCTAATATTACAATAAATACATTTAAAGCGATGATTCGCAATTGTCAGAAATGAAACAGGAAAATACTAAGACTTGTGCAAAAACAACAAGTTACATTTACGGCAAACACGGAAAAAAACAACCACTTACGAGTTGAAGAAGAATGTAATAGAATGTGATGTTCCGGAAACTCACAAATTATATAATATTCAAAAGTTCTTGATATCACATCGGCGAACCAACTCGCGCATTCTTGTATGGTGTCTGCGTATTTATATGATTGCAAGAAGATGCAGCCTCCCTTCTCCATCGGAAAACGCATAAAGTGCTTTGCATCACGTGGCGCGTACATATATTCTTCGCGTGTAATCTAATATTTAAATTTCTTTCTAATGGGTTGTTTCTTTCTTACAATTCTTGTGAAATATTGACTTTTGTTAGATGAACCGACATTAAAATTAATACGCTCTTATAGCCTCTTGCCGACTAATTTATATCTTTTTTTATTCTTACCCGAGATGTGATACCAGCACATTTATCTCGCGCACGATGTTTCTTTGAGTTATGCAATACATATCCGCACATCCGCAATACAATTAAATTTATTTTTATCTAGCGGTATTCCTCTCTATTATTTTATATTCGATATTAAAACTCTTCGTAAATTTCTATTTCTCTTGTGAAAAAAATTATTCAAAAAGTCGGCAAGATTTCCTACGATCATATCTCATATGTGAAAAATGTTACACATTTGTCCTTGATTAATTCTGGAAAGAAATAAGATTCGATTCTACGCAGTATATGCAAAACAAAGCGTGCGTGGAATCGAGCTTTGATTCGAGCTCACGTGTTGCTCACGCGAGAGATTCCCGCGATACGATATAACTGTTAACGCGACGAAAAAGAAGCTAATAGTACGAAACCATAATAGTAGACGTTGCATTTTACCTGAAGCAAATAACGCCATAAAGATGTCATTATAGTCCCTCGCGATCGTTACTTTTCGAAAGCGCAAAGAAAGTACTATATTACATTCACGATTGAAACGATCGGCCGACTAAGCCTTGCCGCCTGCTCGCTAGTAGTTTATATATACCGAGATGTGTTAGGCTGTCTTATGGCACCTGTTAAACGGCACTTCACATCCGAATCACGTATCGCTGATGCGCATGCAGGCGTGCTTCCCAAACGTCCGGGACAGCTTCTGGGAGGCGAAGCGATCGCCAAAGAGGATGATGCTTCACGTGCATTCTTCTGCTCACGGTCGTCATAGGGCGAGAAAGAAATGTCAAGGAATCTGGTCTCAAGGATAAATGATCGCCGATTATTCTAATAATCGTGCATAAACAACTCGATCCTCTCATTAGGCGCGCCAAACTTTTCTTTTGTTGTTTTCCATTAAATTTGATTCCTATTTTTTGTTTTCGATCTGCGTACATATACGCACATACACGAGCATCTGTGAATAATTTTATCATATAATATGTAATAAAAATAGCGATATATCGTATCACATAATCGAATCTCTTAAAATCACCGAATATTTCAATAACAGGTTTCTTTGATATTTTGACGCAAAAAATCAAATGTAAAAACGCACTCCCTCCGTTTTTTGCCAACTTGCAGTTAGCAGCAGTCGGGAATAAAATCAAAGTTATAGCAGTCATAAAATTTAAATAGCTTAATAAATGATTAAGATTCAGTCTCATAACATATATATTTAAGTATATCGTAAAGATGTTGCAATATTAATAAAGATTAGAGTAAAGGGACAACAAGAGGTAAACAAGGCCTCTCTCTAATGTATTAAAATTATATCGAGATTGAAATTCTTTTTCAAAGATGTGATACTAATTAATGTTTTATAATTTAGATGTAAGATAGAAGCGATTGTCTTATTTAAAAGATACTTACAGATAAAGGCCCTCACGCGCGCATATCGAATGATTATTTAGATATTTAAAAATAGGCGCATTTTTTTCTCAAACTGCACTTTCCAAGTGTCGGTAATTGCGGCAATGATATGTGCTACTGCTGCCTTATATTAAGCAAATATATAATTATTATGGCCGGTAAAACAGGACGGTCCGGCATCCTCTTAAAATGGAAGAATTAAAAATAAATCCACGAACGTCCTCTGTTGTTGAAGTAACGAAACTCATCGTACAGAGTCCTTCGTGAAACCAATGCCGGATTCAAGCTTGTCTCACAGGTAATTCTCAATTATAATGTAACATGAATCAAATTCACTACGTTTGTTAGACGAATCTTTCTTCAACGGCAAGGAAGCTGAAATATTTAGAATAAACATGGATTTATTAATATTAAAAGAACTCGTTATAAAGTGAGAGGTTCTAACCTGAGCTTTACGATGCATTGCTCATCAAGATGTTGTTTATACATGTAAATACGATTCTGTGACATACGATATGCGCGCGCATCTTGGCGCGCCGCTTTTACGGGAAAAATTGAACGTAAATTAGATAGATATCGCTCGACACGCGATTGTTGGTTCTGCCGATTGAAATTCGCACGCGACGTTAAATCAGCCGATTGCCGCTGCGTCGTGATTGTTCCTTCTTTCTCGACCAACTTCACAAATCTCATCGAATCAAAAAGGGATAACGTCATCCTACCTGGCGCGGCGCGCGTGGTCGAGGCGCTGGCATTTCGAAAGCGCGCGTCCGAGCGAACGTCAAGATCGTCGTTTCGCGAAGGAGGGATCGCGGAGGTGGCGTATTACGTTCGCGAACGACGGCGATGACTATCAGTCGGCCGTGAGTCGTGAAGCGAGTGCGAGTTTGCGGGAGTCGCGATCGATTTCGAAACGCGCTCGTGTTTGTATCCCGTCCGTGTCTGTTCGTTTTCGGCCGGTACAAACGTCGTATCTTTGACAGCAATGCGGGTGGACGGAAAGGGTGATCGATCATCGCGGTGAGAGACGATTCAAGACGGTAGTGTCGACCCACGTGACGATCCAAGTGCCGCGCAAAGCTGTCAGTTTGAGATACGAGACTCGAACAAGATCCTGCATCAGTTACAGGAGCGAGAAAGAAAGAGAGAGAGAGAGAGAGAGATACGATCGATGTTCACGTGACAATCAACAACGCGGCGTGAAGTTGTCGCTAAAGGGTGCGCGGACAACGGCCATATTCAAGGCGAGCCATCGTCTCGCCCCGGGTCGAAGAGACGCACAGGATCGGGAAAATACAGTCTCGCGGCCATCCACCGAGACGAAGCAACGCGCGCGAGACTTATACGCGACGACGAAGGGAACGAGGACGTGAAGGAACGAGGAAACGCGGACGATCCGAGCTGTGACAACGCAACGATCCCATCGCCGAGATGGAGTTCAAGTTCAACGTAAATAAACTCTTGCCTAGAAAGATCAACAAGGTCACGCATAACTTGGTGCCGGAAGACTTCAAAGGTGATCGGCGCGAGTTGAAGTGAGTACACTTTCTTAGGCTCAAGATCTTGAAACAGCTCCCCTCGGGAATAATTAATAGAGCTGCGTAAATGTTCATTTAAAAGGCTAAAACACTTGGGTGGATAATCCTGTGTATTCTATGATTTCGATAATGGCGAGTAACCTCTCTCTTTTATCGGCTTCTTCTTTGTATTGCATATATATATATATTTTAGAAAAATAATACGAGTATTTAATAAATATCATATACATATATGCATTACAAATTACAAGTTTCATGCAGTAATTTTTTGTTGATGACATTTGGTGACATTAAGGAATTTTTTTATATACGTCTCTCTCTTTCTCTTTCTCTCTCTCTGAAGCTGATCATTCAAATATATCTGGGAAATATCTGTGGGAATATCTGTGTGTGAGATTTGTTAATTTCGAAAGAATAAAGAATTGTATGAAAAACAATCAAAGAGAGAGAGAGAGAGAGATCTTACAGTATATAAAAAAATTGTTCTAGAAATTAGCATGATTTTATTTAAAAAATTGAAAAGACGAATAAAGTTGTATATATAGATTTTTTTTATGTATTTCAGAAACTATTTGTTAAATTTAATTATACTCCGTCGCTTTTTTTTCGAGACATAAAATTGAATGGACTTTTTGCAAAAAAAAAAAAAAAAGAGAAAAGGACGAGTATACGTGAAGGTATTGTGTATCATCCATTATCGCCAAGGTTACATCGGTGATCGTAATATAATGGACATATATACAGCCACGGAACTTTCACTACGCATTAATGGGATAGCAATCTGGCCATTGCGGATCTCTGTAAATTTCTGCAAAGCAATATTCTGCTGTTAAGACAATTCTGATTTATTTCACATTACTGCTATTACTATCTTCCTCTTTTATTCACGATCCGTTATATTTGTTGCGATTGATTTACGCGTATATTAATTAAAATTGTAGATCATTAATGTACCATTATATTTTCTATCTCTAATTTGAAATTCCTCATAACGAGATCCACGATTGGTATGAGATACACGGCTTATTAATTGCATGAAAACTTTTATTTTTCACTTATATCGAGCGGAAAATATTATAATAAATAAGTAGATTTAGTTTGTTGCTTGTCAGGGATTGTAAACACAAAAAATCCGTCCACGTGAGTGCATAATGAATATCAAATTTCTCACACGTTCGTTTGTTTATGCAAAAGAACAGGTCTCGTAATATTTTGTATGCGGTACGTCAGCCGCAGATTTACAGATGCGATATATGTCAAACAAGCGCGGAGACTCGCGTGGCATGTCACGTACGTCAGATCTATCGTTGAATCGCAGAATGTTTGGTAATTGGCGTGAAATTAGATAAATATAGATCTCTCAATGAGTTCCAAGTCAATTTATTCTCTCGAAAATATCACTGGCTTGATTTAATTAAAATTGAAATATTAGAATAAAAAATCAAAAAATTTGTAAGTCCAGATTTAAAAGAGTTGAAATTTAGAACTCTAATTTTTTCAATTAGAATAGAAATTAAAAGATCTTGTCTCGTATTCGCGTGTTCAAAGATATGAATAAATTATAAAACTTCTTATTCTTCGTTTAATTTTGCGTGTAAATTTCTGAGGCGTTATAGAAATAACAAATTTTTTGCTAAGCATATAATATATGATAAGAAATTCAATATCATATCGAGACATTTCTCGGATTTTGAGGATATCTGCGATACTCGGGAGGCACTCGTTATTCGATGACGATATTTCCTCGATCATTACCAAATGCGTACTCTGGAGCTGCGAATAATTTGCAAGTATCGTCGCATTTTAGATCTTCTATCCCGTATTCCATTTAATAACGTTTATCACAGCATCTTAAGTCAATGAAAAATGTTGCATGTGATAATTAACAGGTTGAAGCTCTGAATAATTGGAAATTACGGTAGATAAATAATCTACCATAAGGTAGATCAGGTTTCATGCGTTATTTTTGAATAAACACGCGCTGATAAATATCATTAAGAGGATGCCGGATACCGACAGAATGCGAATATTAGTAGGATTGCAAAATATTTTTGTTGATTATAGATATCAACAAATCCTTTTCCATAATTAAAGTATACATAATAACGGAGTGCGGGGTTTATGATTTCATATGAAAAGTGAAAAAAAATTAAAAAATTACAGTTTTGTTATCGGCTTCTGCCGTCAACATTTACTTAATATAAAAAACCTGCAACCTGCACGTGCCTAACAAGTGAACTCCGCACTCGGCATTTTATCAAAGAGTATTAATAAACTTTGAGAAGTGAGTTTAGAAGCTTTATAAAAAAGATTTTACTATGCAACATTTTGCACACCGAAATGTTTCTCACTAGGCTTTCAAATACATTTTCAAACGTTCACTTATATTCCTTCATGCATTTCCGAGTGGAGAGGTATCCTATTTTGCACATACACACCGCAAAACCCTTATATTAAGCAAATATATAATTATTATGGCCGGTAAAACAGGACGGTCCGGCATCCTCTTAATACAGTATGAATTATGTTACTGCTGCTGCATGAATGATTAATGATTAGTGAATAAATGTCACTGATGTATCTTCAAATATATCGCTGCTCCTGATAATCGTGGATTGTCGAATATCTAGCTGATTGTGAAAGATAGCGCTTAAAAGTCGCACATGCTCTTAATTGAGATCTAGGTCGCGGATAACTTTGCAAATAATTTCCACGATAAAGTCTAAGATAAGACTCCACACATTCTGACATCTGTTCAACTAATTTATTACGAAATTACAGTATTCTTATATATTGTGCGTTCTATCCCATGGCTTATATTCCCATGATAAATTATTTTTTTCAAATATTTTTTATATTCTATACTTTTACCAGCTTTACCAAAATCAATAACAGACGTTTCGGATCAGTTCTCATAAAGCGGTAATTAATATGACTTACTAAATAAAGAGTTCCGAAAGTAAATATCCTCCGTTCCGAGAGAACGAACTGTTTGCCGTAAAAGAAACTTGGCGAAACGCGAAGTAAATGAGTGTTTTTTAGCAATAATATAAATCGTACAGACGGGCTTCTATGTGTGGTATTCTCGCGGATTCTCGGTTCAAAGTACCCAGTTTATTCGCAACAGCCTCCATCGAATTCTTGAGCAGTGATTCGCGACGCTCGCGGAAGTTTATGACGAAATGGCAGAGAAGCGGTTTTCTCATATAATCGCGCGAGGTTTGTCCGTCGTTATACCCAATTATTATGCAGAAAATGTTGTCTCCGGTTGCCTCTAGGAATAGTTGACGCAATGTTATTACGTGTAATACGTTGTAAAATCGGTCGTTGCCCGGACGCTAGATACGAGTCGCCGTAATCGCCTTTTAATTGATACTCGTACAGCGGAAATGGTCGTCGAAATCTTGGGTTTTCGCGCGGATTTGCATATGTAACAAGCTGAGATATAAATACGATGTGTTTAAATAATACATATATATGAAAAGAGCAAGAGAGGAAAAATATGAAATTTATCGTATTGATGCAGATAGAAGATTTTCAAATCGAACGTGCTATAATAATAAATCTGCTCTAATCAGGATTTTTTATTTTTTATTATTTGTGTATAAATAATATATTTTAATTGTTTCTTTGATTAAATAAATTACTAAATTTTTCTAAATTTTTCTAAGTTACTAAAGTTTCTTTCACAGCGCTACTTTGGGTTAGAAATGTACTTAGACTCTCATCTATTATCTCATTAGATTAGAAAGTTCGATTATTTCTGCATAGATGATATATTATATTATCAGATAACGTAAATTGCGAGTTTTATTATTAACTGCGATTTATAGCTTCGTTAAAATGTAATCAACTATATCCTCGTAAGTTCTCACGCGGTTTCTAATATTTCTCACGCAAAATTGCTCTTGTGAATACAGTTAATCATTTTTACACGTAAAATTTAATAAAGGAAATTATCTCTTTCGATTCGGTCAATAATTTTAAATACAATCAGACAGAATTATTGGAGCAAAAAGTGCGAGCGATCTACGTACATTTCATCGATGTGCGAGAACGCGAACGAACGAATAAATCGTATTTCCTTGATCACCTTGATCCTTTTTATAGAATCAGGCCAATGACAGATATGACCATTACCGGAATAACGTTATTGAAGGATGATATTAAAGGATGGGGCTTGCCAAGATCAAATAATAGAAATATAGACAATTGTTTATATACTCTGGGGTATTTTTTTCTAGATAAAAATCAAACTTTTTTTAATTATATCAAACTTTGAAATCTGCAACGAATGAACCACAAAATTCCTAATTGTTTATATTATACGAAATCTTTAGAATTCTATTATATTGTTATTCTATTATATTTTATTATACTCTTTTATAAAAATAAAAATAATTAAACACGAAGAGAATTTGTTTTAAAAACAGTTGGAGTTTAAAAATTTTATGTGATATTTATCTTTCTTATGATCTTATATATTTTATAATTTGCAACATTTTACATTTTAATTTTAAATAAAAGCTTATCAAACAATGACTTATTTTTATTACAAATTTCCGTTGAAAAGAAAGTCGGCTCCAAAATTATTAAAGAATCCAGTGTTAAAATCAGGCAGGCTTTTCGTGTAAGATCACTTCCGCAAAATTTCACATCCTTGAGATTAGCTGTTTTATTAAATTTCGCAATGCAGCTTTCTACACATAGCGGTTATTCACGTCATCGTCGAACATAATCCATCATATACTTCACACCTTAATATAATGACTATAGGGAAAAGACCTAATACCGATGGAATAAATTAACTTGATCCGTATCGCAAAGCAAGCGATTGGCGCGCGTCCAAAACTTGAATTAGGTCACTGCTCGTAACTGAATGATGTCCGAAGAATAATTACATCCATATAATTTTCTTACGTGTAATTTCGTAAAAAGCGGAAATGATCGAATAGCAAAATTGCATGTTACTTTGCACAAGATTAAAGATTATACATAAAAAATGTAGCTCTTTTTATTATATCATTATATAGCTTAACATTTTTATATTAATATATATAATTTACATGTAGTATTATACATGCGAGATATAGAAAGTATATCTGACAATCCATATCTATTTAAAATAATTATACGTCAGTTTTATACATTATTATTGTTGCTTATAAATTATTCTAAATACATATTAAAATATTTATTTATAATTATTCATCTTTAGAAATTTATCTGAATAGTTGTCAGATACTTTCTATCTCGCATATTTACCACGCTGCTTTCCACTAGTTATCAAAAACGTTTCGTTCTAAATACTTGACGAAAGAACATCGGATCGGAATTAATTTTCCGTCTGGAATTAATTAGCATAAATCTGTGAGACTCTGATGAGCGTATAAAACATATAAAATGTAAAGACGAAAAGTGGAACGTGGCTGTTTCGTGCTATTTCAGCGATAAACCGCAATCTACGTAGTTGCGGCATTGAAAAACGGCGAAACGCTCGAGTGAGATGCTATTTTTTGCTCGCGTCTATTTCAAGAGATATCCGCAGCATCTATTTCAAAAGAAACGAAACTTATGATTGAATCGTGTTTTTGAATTATAAATAAAAATTTTACTATATTTGAGAATTCTCATGTGTTTTTGCAACCGTAGATTTTAGAATATCTATGAAAAATAATTTTTGATTATATCTTTCGATTATTTTAAAAATATACGATTGCAAAAACACATGAGATCTCCCGACTATGGTAACATTTTTATTTATAATTAAATAACACGGTTCAATCATTACTTTTCATATATTAATATTTATTTCATATTTTAATTACGAATTACTTTATAAATGAATATTCTTGGTTGCCTCCAAAAACATGAGTATAGGTGTGTAATAAATCTCTTCTTTTTTTTCCAGCGAATGTCAAAGACTATTAAGCAGAATATTGGACGATATGGGTGAGGCATCGGCGAGAGCTCAAGGACTCAACAAGCCCATTACCAGCGCCCTTAAACTTCGGGACACAGATCATACAATTTATCTGCTCGTAGATAATGAAGCAAACAAGTAAAGTTCTTTCTATAATTAATTACTATACTTAAAATACTATCACGTGTGTAAAATTAACGCTCCCGATCTCGAGTATTTCAATATATAATCGATATTGTCTGTGGTTTATTTTTTTAAAAGACTTCCAACTTTTAATACTTAAAAACGATGAAAATTAAAATAAGAGAGTTGTTGTCGTCGCAACCATTAGGGAAATCGAGATACTCGAGGTGCGCGTTGCGGATTTAAGTGCTACGGACCAGAAGTGGGTGTTTCCTAGCCAAGGGGTTAGAATCTCTCGGCAGTTCGTGGATCGATGTGCCGAGCTGTAATGTTGTCTCGACTTTACGAATATTCAGATTTCCTAAAACTGCAGGCGATACTATGTATGACTCTCAACTTTCTATCTTTTATAGCTATTCTGAAAGGCTATTCTGAAGGCTATTCTGAAAGTTGCTTAATTAAGAAGCAATATAATATTCCTTTATAATGTATAAAGTATTTCAAAATTATTGAGCTATTTTGAACTTTTAGCTACTTTGAACAATTTTGCATCGATTTCTCTTTAGCGAAAAAATATCTTCTTGCTAAAATATTTCTCGTCACTGTTTTTTAAATTGCAATATTATTCATCACTTTAATTAAGTCTTAAATTATTATTTCAATTAAAATATTATAATTTTTCTGTAATTAAATTTTGACGCCTATTTAAAACTTAATTATTAAAATAAATCTTGCGTTTTCTAATTGCTTATAAATAAAGAAATATTCCTTCGACGAAAATGGTACGAGATACGCGTCAAACCATACGTAGATATTACGCATCATTTATAGCATTCATTAAGACCACGTAATACTTAGTGTCCTCCATAGTTGTCTCGCGATCATGATCATGAATTATTTGCGTAAAATCATCACGCTCGAACGTTTGATTTCGCAGTGGACTAGGTAGCGTGGTGGGTTTATTGAAGACTGGATCGAAGAATCTCTTTCTGTTCGATGAGATGGGAGAGCATTATCAACTACAGGCGAGATGCATCTTGGACTTTTACGTGCACGAATCACGGCAACGTATGGGCCTGGGAAATATTCTCTATCAGCATATGTTATCTGTAAGCGTATACTTCTAATTAAATATTAAATTACATTTAATTTCGAATTACTATCCACACAGCGTAAAAAAAAAAATATTACAAAAAGATAGTGCCATATATATTTTTTATCTAATATTTAAAGAATCTCTCATAATTAGTCGTTTTATTACGTAAAATAATGAAATTTTGCCGCCATTTCTAAGATACGTTCGCCGAAACAAAGTCGATTTAATTAATATCTTCTCTTGATAAAATTGTGTGTTAATGAGTTCGCGAGAAACAGGCCGTTCTCACGTGAAGAGAGAGTTTCCGCTACACGATACGGACTCCCTCGCTCAAAAACAAATCTTGCGATGCGCCAGTACAAGGCATAATTACTTCCTGTACGGGAGCAGAAGGCGTCGCGCGCAGTCACGATTTAAATCGCTATCGTCGAAACTTCGTGCGAAGCAAAAGTAACTTGCAATTATGTTACATTAGTGACGAAGGAACGAATAACAGTAATGACATTTATTACGGACAACTCACGTAATAATCTCACACGCGCAATACACGTTTTTACGACCCAGATTAGTATAATTATAATAATTTAATCATTTAAATAGATAAGTTAAAATAATGTTCTGAAAATATGGATTAGAGACTTTGCTTAAATTCGGTAAAATGGACAGTGTGATAGAAAATTGCGGCTGTTTATATAAATATATCGCGAAAAATATAAAAAGAATACGGAATATTCATTGGATTGGAAATGTATGCTACATCGATGATAACATATCGACACTTTAGTGTCATAATGTTATCGCGTGACAATATAAAATAAACAAAATCAATTTTGCTACGTATATGAAATATGCAATATATGGATGTATATATTAATTAATTAATTAATTTAAAAATATATGACAAAATATTTTTTAATAATTTTTCTATCAAAGTATTAGTTATATGCGAGATCTAAAATAATCTTTATATTATTTGAGAAACGTGTGGATCATCTGCACATGTATTGATGAGCAGTAGCATACAGAAATTAGGACAAATAATTACTTTTGATAGAAGAATCCATGATGATACATAATCTATATCTTGCAGTTCTTAAAGTAACGCGTAAGTAACAGAGAAAAATGGAAAATTCCATAAATCGCTTTTCGTTCCGCTCGAGAACTCGAAACCCTGAAATCACGTGTCACGTGAGGACAAGTGCACAGAACTGTAACGAAAAGAGGCAGCCGTTCCCTTTTTCTTCTTTTGTTTGATAAATCTTGTCTACAATATAATATTTATTCGTGCAGTATAAGATTTATAACAAGTATAGAATTTCAGAAATTTAATTATTTATCCCTTACAAGTTTTTAATTTTATTCAAATATTTGAATTTAACAATTTCTATTCTTTTATTGCATGGAAAATTTTGAAAAAAAATATCGCAAAAAGATTTATTAAAAATTATTAATTTCTCATAAACGATAAAAAAAAATAGAGCTGTAATATTACGGATAGTATGTGTATGATCATTTTATATAACATATAACAAAAATTTCAGATTATATTAGGAATTATTAATTTTATAATTTTTATTTTATACAGTTATAATTTTACAATGTTTATCCATATTTTGTCTCAAACCGAAATAATTAACTACCATGACGAAAAAAATATTTAGTAATGAAATAATTGGAACAAATGAAATAATGCGCACACAATCGCGTCACTATGCTCAATCGTGCTCAAAGCACTTGCTAGATTTCCGTTATAAATGACATGCATCGGTTACGAACAACATAAAATCTGAAACGCAATACTCGACTATAACTCACATTCATTATCCGTAACTATACTCGTATTCCTTCGCTTATACGTCACACTGTTCGAAATGAGTCATTCGAAAGTACGGTATCGTAATTATTCGCGTGTATAACGTGTGTGTGATTCTCATCAATGAAAATAAAGAGGTACGACTCCGATTACGTAATTTCTTTTCCTGAAAAACGTTATTATATATATCAAAAAAGTCTATACAATTTTTCCAGAAAATCATTAAATTTTTATATACTTATTAAATTTTATTTGAATGTAAATAATTAAAAATTATCACAAATAAATAAAGTTTATTCATCAAGGCAATTAATGCTAAAAGTTGGGAACATGCAATAGATAGCAATTTCTAATCATATTTTAATTGAGTAGAAATCGAGTCTAATACCCAAAGTATTAATAAGATATTATATTAATAAGATTGTTTCCAATTATAATTGATGATAATACTTCGATATACCATATTAAAGACGGTGAGGTAAATTTTCTTTCGAGAATAAAGAAGAGATTATTTAGATTACCTAGGCATAAATGTGATATTATTCTAATGTTGATATTGATAACATCTGAAATTTCGCAAATTACGTTGTGAAAAATCAAACTCTCTTATCTCGTGCGGCTGTAATTTTATAACGAATGCGCTATTTCGTGGTCGCTGCGACTTTCTTACAACCAGAATCTGAGATATCGCTCGTAAAAAGCGACCGATATTAAACAGACGCGTGACCAGAAGTCATTATACATAGAAGTAGGCGGGTTTTACACTCGAAGGTAATCTGCAAGGTGATTGAACTCGAGCATAGACCGTTTGTTCCGATATGATTTTTGCCATTTTTTTGTATATCTGATAGTGTAGTTTTTTCCTAATTTTGATTTTTTTATATAGAATGATTATTATTAGAAACTCGGTTCCGTAATAAATCACTCGGCTCAGCAGCCTGCGCTCTCGCTAAATAATGAAAGTTAATCACACACAATTATTATTTAATGCAGCTATCGCGTATATACGTGGATTTATGTTCAGCAAAACTTGTCAAAATCATCTCTAGATTATTAAAATCTACCATTAAATATCATAAATTATATAAAAGTTAAATATACATAGTACTAAATAAGAGATTCCTTAATAAATTCTAATTATGAATAAGAAAATCAAATCTCTTAATTTTTTTTTTGTTAAGAATTATAATTAATAAAATATTCTCTGAGTTTTTTAGGATATTTTTAATTGATTTGAAAAAATAAATATTTTTATTTACAGATTAGAGTCTGTTGTATATGGATATTTTTTGCCATATTTTAGGAGTTTGTGCACAAATGTTGATTTAATAACGTTTTAGTATTTCTAATTAATATCCTTCTTATATTTCTCTCATTTATTTTATTCTTTTTCTTTAGATTCATTTATTCTACTTCTAATAAAACGGTTTAATTTATAGGAGGAAAATATGAGGCCAGTAAAATTGGCCATTGATCGACCATCGGAAAAGTTCTTAGCTTTCCTACGCAAATACTACGGACTTTCGAAGATCATTTCACAGAACAATAAATTCGTCGTTTTTGAAGGATTCTTCGATGACGGTATGTAATTACCTCTCTACGTATTACCATTAAATTGTACGTGTATAACAGATCTTAGCAAAATATAAGATTGATATTTTTATAACATTACACATAATTCTTATTTTTTGTCGTTGTAAGTATCTGTGATAAAGAATATTGTAGAAAGATATTGAACTAAATAATTGTAATAACTTTATGTTTGCGGTCAACTCGTACAATTTTCTATGTTTGTACTCATTTATAAGTAAAACTCTCCTAATTATTCCGCCTTCATGGTTACGAGTAATGAAGGGTATACCAATATAGGGCGTGGGATAAACAGGGGAAAGAAAGGGAGCGAACAGAGTTTCTCGTTAATCCTGTAATGTTAGGGTAAGCTCAAAGAAGACCCCCTATCATTTCCGTTTTGACAAATTATGACGGAAAACAATAGAAATATATTGTATCAAAGTGAAATCATCCAAATATGAATAAAGCATAACATTTCATTTCTCTTGCGATAAAACGGTGACAACTGCTTTCGGCCAGCACTCCGTGACGTGTGCAGCCAAAAATAAGTCTCACGTCTGTGAATCTGTCGACTATCTCGCAAAATATCTACGCTGATTGTCTTTTTTCACTTTTATATGTTATCAGAGATAAGCCACTATTTGCATATAGAATATTATTTTCAAATACGAAATAATACTATTCTACGACACATGATAATGATCGAAAGATAAATTGTGGCAATATATTTTTCTTTCTATCAAAGAGATAATATCTTCTCTGATACATGCAAAAATCTCTTTCTCTCTCTCTCTCTCTCTTCCTCTCTCTGAAAAATGAACGATTCAATTATTTCCCGTTCCTATGATGCAGCGAGAATTCTTTTGCAACGTCTCTCGCCAGTCGAGGTGTCTGCTATACAGACAGACGCAAGGTCAGATCTGGTTCCAGAGGTCGGGCCGCCCTACGGGACGAGTCGCTCGCGTCCTAAATCGGCGATACTCGTTCAGAGAGGCTCGAAATCGCGGCCAATGCCACGCTAAGGACGATTTATGCCTCGGCTATGTCCACAATCGATCAAGTCCCGTCCCTAGATGTCGAGCCGCTGCTTGATTCACATTTATGCTGATTATGCATGATTCGCTCCAATTTTGCTGATAGCGTTTCTCGAGAAATCGATGTCCCTGAATGCCTTTGTCCACCGAAAGATGAAATATTAAATGCGGAAAGGGAAATGTGATCGCGAGATAACGAGTGGCAATAATACGGCGAAAAGACAGACGGCATATTTAATGATAATCATCATTAAATGTAATCGCGGATAGCTGCTTAAAACACATAGTATAGCTTAAAGATTAATATGAGAATTTTAAAGCATCTAAAAAGGATTAACTGAGAGATAAACAATATTTTTTAATACAATAAAAAGGAGAAAAAAAAGAGAACATTTTCGAACGAAAAGTAAAATTGAAATTGAAACTTGAAAGTTTATTTGTTGAATTTACGTGTGTGTATGTGATATATATATATGATTGTAAATAATATATGAAAAACATTTACTTTGACATTTTCTGCACCCAAATTTCTATAAAAACTCGCATACTATTGAATTCTTATCTATCATCGTTTTCATATTTGTAGAGAGCCGAGATGTGAAGAACAACAGATATAGTTTACCTCCCAGAATGAGCTTGGATGATGGAACGCCTGGCAATAATAACAATAACGGGAAGAATAGTGCTAGGTAGGTGCGTCGTCGGATACCGCGTCGACTGCGAAGCGACAGATGCGAACCGTGACATCGCAATTATATAGACAAAAAAAATCAAATTTCGCTTTTCAGTCTCAACGGAATCCCGTATGTAACGTCCGTTTCGCGTAGCTCATTCGGTAGATACGCCGCGGCACGACCGCCCTGTTCCATGGCAAACGTGAGTACGGCAAGATGAGGAAATAATGGGAAATCTCTTTCTCCTAATTATATATTTTTTAATCATTCATTAATTTCAACGCGTGCATTCTAATGTAGTCCTGTATATCTCAAAATGTCTATTTATATAAAATTGTATTGTAGTGCGAGATTTTTGTGTGTGCAACCGTATTGATATTACTAAAATGTCGATTGAATTTTGATATTGGCAAATTTCAAAAGCATTTGTTTCTAAATGTAAGATAATATATGTAGATATAATAGATGTTATTTCGATGATATATATATATAGAGAAATATTTAAAAATTTTTAATTATTAAATATATGTGGTATGACCTGCACTTATTATTTCTGATCGCTACTAAATGAAGTTGCACATGAAAAGCATCTTTTTGGCTAAACAGATTTAAGGAGAAAAATCTTCTTTGCTTGAGTTTAACACGTACTCGACAGCTAATCGCATAATTCCAGTTATCTTTCTCTCTGTGTTAAGCTTTTCTTGTTTTCCGAATGTTATAACACAGCGCATATATATAATGACTAATCATAATAAATATTGACGCTTTCTTCTAGATAATCCATAACACAGCGATGCTTGGTCAATCAACCGAGCGTACCGGGTGAGTAAAATTCACGCAATAATTTGAGATGGTCCACAATCCTGCAAATTGCTTGCCCTAATTTTCTTTAATATTTAATAGAAGATTATATAGAGAGTGATTATGTGTAATAATAGTATTGCATAGGAATGTTTTATATAATAATATTCTTTTGGTTGAGATCTCACTCGTGTTGTGACAAAAAATTCTCTCATAGTTGTGCAATGAAAATTTAATTTTTAAATGACGCCGAGAGAAGAAATTCTTCAGCGGTAAAGAGATAAACAGTTATTTAATAGATATTAATGAATTATTTAGTAGATAAAACAAATTGAAAAAAATGGGACTGTGAGAGAAGAAAATATGTATTACCTGCATTTATATTTGTTTTCGCATTTTTGCACTGTGAGCAAACTTTAATTAGCAGTCACCCCCAAAGCTTTAATTAATCTTGCTAAGAATGCGTGCTCGACATATCTCAAACGCTTTAGATGCTTCAAATACTTCGTTGTGATAAAGCATTGCGTTAATGATTGTCGATTCATCAGTTTTATTATTTGCAATACCGAAAAATTCTTTTAATCGAGAGTTAATTGGACGTACAACAATCTCCTATTAGTGCTCAGTCGCTAAGACAGCTTGCCGAAATACTATTCTTATACTGAATGCATAAACGCCATCGCTTGCCAAGATATGTCTAGGCGGGCGATAAATATTTCCGGGTCACCTCGATCACACACATTCAAGTCTCGGATTTCTCAGTCCGGTGTGAATTTGAAATGAAACTATCCATCAAGATCTATGTTTTATATGAGAAACGGATGAATGGTATAAAATTAAACTTGCAATTGTTGATATTTTTAAATAAGCGCATATTTTTCTAAAACACATTTTGATATTACATAATCTTGCGTTAGTACTAAATATTGTGTTCATCATTTTTTAATGCTAAAAATATGTGATATATGTAAAAAGGGGAATCTAGGTGACCTAATATCTTTAATTTGCCACGATACGTTAATTTTTATTGACAAACATGCGCGCGTATTTAAAATATTTAAAATCTATCACATTATAATTATTGATTCCTTGAAGGAATTATTCTCACTGTACATTTCTATCTATACGTAAAAGGATTAAGTTATTTGTACAGTTGATCAAATTTATTAACTTGTGTTGATTAGTAATGTTACAAATGTATTATATACGTAATGACTCACGTGTGTATATATATATATATATATATATACATAGTAATAATTTTAATTCAAATAATAATATATACTGAGAGAGAAATGAGAAGGAAATTATTATATCGTGAATATTTATAATATGTGTAAATATGAATTAGAGATGTACAAAAAAAATGGAAAAGAGACTGAAAGATGATAAAAGTTCAGAAAATTCGAGAAATGTCGCACTTTTTTTTATGTGCTTAAAAATCAAGATTTATTTATATTTCAGTTTAATTTATATAATTTATGAGTATGTATGTTATATTTCTTTAACACGCTCTATGTAAATTGTAGCCTATAAGAGTTCTTGTCTTTCTTCTGTAATTATTAGTAACAATATATACGTTAATATAAAAGATTTATTTTGCTGATTTTCTGCGAGTATATAGATTTTCGCTCGAACTAAATACTTTTATTTTTCCTTCGATCGAAGGGATATAAAGATAAAAAAGAATCTGAATATTTTTCAACTTATACGCATAAACAAATCGAAATATTTTAAATTTTATTCGACAAATATTCATTCATAGTCTTATTCGTCAGCATTTCAAAGCAAAATCATATAAATGCATAAATACATTGAGAAATAAAATTGCTTGGATGAGAGAAATCAAACTGACAGCTATCTTCATTCAAACAAATCTTGAAATAACTGAGCAAATTACATTATATTCGCGCAAGAATAAATTTTGTCAATGCAACAGCAGCTATGTACACACACCACACACGTACACTTCATTGTATCTTCACTGTCAGTTACTGACAGCCAAGCAGCCACTGTTGACATTTGGCATGTTAAATTTTAGCAAATAAATGATTCCGTTAGGATATATATGTGATATATATATGAAATTTTATATATATATATATATATGTTTTTTTCTCCTTAGATGTTTATAAGTTGTATAGCGATTATTTGTGAAAATTGAGAGAAGAGTTGTAAAAACAATTAATTTTTAGGTAATAATTTTCACAATATGGTAAATGAGAAAAGAAAATAAAGTTGAAAATATATTAATAAAATAAGTTTATTCACATGAAATAAATTTATTTCATGTCTTCGTACTTAAACCCAGTTTGAAGAAATAAATTCGGTATATGAATGTTATTGGACAAAATAAAATCTTTTCAATACATCTACACATACAGTAGTGTTGAACAATATAACAAGATTGAATGTCACATCAATGCAACAGCACCAATATATAATGTAATGTGATTGAATTAAAACTAAATATTTTATAATTTGTAAAATTTTTTTAAAAAAGGGCAATAAAAATTTTATTTATTTTTCCGTTCGTTTAATTTTTTTTTTCAGTATGAAGAATAATTCTTATTTTACATTATTTTCATTTCAGTTTTACTTTTTATAATTTATATTTGCGTAAAGAATTGTGCGGTTTTCTAACGTTTCCTATGTCAGCTTGAGCGAAGCATGCTTATTGTTCAGTATACATACAGTTATATAAAATAAATTATTGTACTTATTATGTAAGAATTGTGCTATTCTGAAATTGCATTATTTACATAGGATTTTGATAAACTATTGTAAACGTTAACGAATGTTAATGCAAATTTATTCCTTTTAATTATGCGTTATGTAGTAAAATAATATTCAATTTTTACAACATACGAAACCTGTGATTTAAAAAGATTAAAAACAATCGTAACCAAAAAATTGATTCCTGAGGAAATCAAGAAAAAGGAAAACAAAAGTCTATACATAAGCTCGATTCTTGGTGATTTTCTCATCTTCCTTTTTCTTGGTTTTCTTAATTACATCTACATTTTTTTAAAATTATTTTTATATTGGATAAATGCAATTGAACGTGAAAAATGAAGTCTTCCTTGAATAGACGCTTACGACAAATCTACATGAACTCGAGACTGAAACAAAAAGACATGTAATGTTGCATGTTGCTGTCAGCTTGCTCTTGCTCGTGTCACGATCTGACAGGCAAGATGATTTTTCAGCAGTAGCAATAGTGATAGAGCGTCGCCGCCTCCGCCATTGAAGCTGGAACGACCGCGTTCTTTGAGCATCTACTCCGAGGAGGAACAGAAGCAACGTGGTCTTGAGATGAACACCGTCCCGACGCCAATCGTACCGGATAATCAAGCAAAGCCCTTCGTTCCTATCCTATTGGAAGCTGAGAAAACGGAGAAGAATGTAAAGCCATCGCCGTCGTGCGGTCAGGAAGTGACCACCGGTACCAATCAACACGGACATCTGGATCTCAAGTTTTACCATTCACCCTTATGGTGAAACGATATAACTGATATATAATTATCTTTCTCGCTTCCTCCCCTCTTTGGAAGAGGAATTCGTTTTATAAATCGGATCGGTTCGACCTGGGTTAGCACCCTAATTCCGGATAACTCGAAAGATTTTCCTTCATCTGTATCCATGTACTTTAAGTAGAATTACACAATCTAGTCAGAGGGAAAGTTGTAATCGCTCACTCAGGATTAAGACATTACGATCCGTAAGCACACATTTATAAATTTCAAATCTTTTTCTATTTTTTTCTAAACTATACTAGCAAAAATTCTCGTCTCTTTAATTATTTTTTCTGGGATAAACTTCAACGATTTATAATAAAGGCGGAATATTTCTGATATGAAAATGAAACAGATATCAATCTTCAGATCAAAGAATTATGTTATTTAATTAAGTTGAGACAATAAATAAAAATAAACCCATCTTATAAGGAGAAAAGAAAATAAGGAATTTAAATAAAGCTACTAGAGAGACATCCAAAAATCTTGCATACTTTATGCTCGATATATTTCAAAGAATAAGAAATCATTTTTATAAAATAAATGCTCGCTCATCATTTTCAATATTCATCTATTTATCAGATAAATATATATTTATCATATATGACGAATGATCTACATATTCATACATCCATTCAAAAAATGAATAAATATGTAAGAATGAAAAGTAAAAAGTCTATGACGATAATACCGATCAATTATATTTGAAACATTGTTTACACGTGTAATGATCTATTTATGTTAGATGTTCATATTTATATATTTAATGATATAATTTTAGTATGTGACAAGGGGAGGTAGAGAATGTTTCGGCGTAAAGAGAATTATATAAAATGAGAAGTGGGTCGAAAAAATTTATGCATATTATTTGGACAGATCTTGTTATGCAGGATGTCTCAGAACTCACAGAAAATGAATATGTTATTCCGTTATTCCTTATGAAACGGCTTATGAATAACATTCTTAATTCATAATTGTTGATTATTTATTTATTTATATGTAACGGGGAAGAAATAAAGACCATGCAGTATTTCGCTTCAAATTTGAGGACTGATTGATATTCATTATAGAGATATTATATATAATATGCACACACGTAATGCATACATATATATATGTAGAAAGAACCGCTTGTGTATGTGTGTATACATCTTCAGATTCATATAAACACCCTAGAAGAATGCATGATGAAATTAATTTAGATATTATAATCGATAGATATTAGAATTGGCACAAACACATATATAAATACATATTACGTATAAATATGTACTACATATAAGTAGAACGGAGAGAAATAGGGCCATAGTACACACAATTTATTAGCAAAAATTCATATTATCAATTAAAGACTGTTTACGTGAAATTGTACCAAAACACACAGTATATTATGGGTAGATGTAAAAACATTCACATTAATATTTCAGGATGTATAATCCAAATAAAGGGACATTCTACAGAGATTATAAGGACTACAGTTAAAGAAATGAAGCAATATCAATGATCTGATATATATCGATAAATAATTCGTTGGGCTATCATTATTATATAGTATTGTAACTTGCAAATTGTTTCTCTTACATGAATGTATAATGTAATGTAATTATTAATACGCAAGGATACAATAAGCTCGGAAAAAAATTGGATATTTATATCTGTTGTCCCAATTACACAAGAATTTTATATAATCCATAGAGAGATATCTATATGACATGCTTATGAAAAAAGGAGACATCTAGAATAACATATACATGCAAAATGAGGGTATGTGTTTTGTTTTCAAATAAAAGAAGGAAATAAATAGATAAGGATGAAGAAATACTCGTTTATCTTATATGAAACACCTTTTCTATATTACAAAAAATATTCACATAACATTTTTCTTTTAAACTAGTCTAGTGTCTTATCTTTTCAATACATCTACACATACAGTAGTGTTGAACAATATAACAAGATTGAATGTCACATTAAAAAAGCTCTGGAAACAAAGAGATTTACCTATTGAGATAAATATATTTACATTTATCAATTTTATATATATTAGTTAAACTATCGAAAGTATTTCTATGTACATTCTGTATAATAAATCTATATTAAAAATTTTCATGTTCTGAAGAATCCAATTGTTTTTTCTATGTAATGGAAGATTGCTACATTAATTCCTGGTAAATTGATATATGTAATTTATCTCTTTTTCTTGAAATAATAAAAGTAATAATATCATGGTCTGTAATTTATATTATATAAAATAAGTACAGTCTTAAATTCTAGTCTTATTGCTATTATTTTTATGTAATAAAATTGAATTATTTCCTGTTTGGCTGGCCTTGGCGCATATCCTGAAAACAAAAATATCACATATACATACATACATATATACACATATAAACACACACATACATATATATATATATATATATATATATATATATAATATATATTGCAAACTTTATAATTGTATAACATATATGTGTTAAATAATCTCAAATTTTAGTTTTTTTTTTTATATTTATATTAAATTATTTGGTTATATAATAATGAAAACATTGAAAAATTTTTATAAAGCTATGATTATATATTCCAGTCATTGATATTCTTATTTTAATTATTAATAAAATACCAAATTTATTTGTATCAAAATTATATTAATAACTATTTGTATTTATAATTACCCTGGGGAAGTTGCGGGCAGGAGGTGTCCTGATACGACGATCAGCCTTTGACCTGTTGCGTACTACTTTGGAATGAATGGCACAGGACACACAGTAGTGGAGCTTAGCGTACAATTTTGGCAGCTGGTAAGATTGGTAAAAGCTGGCCTCTGTTATATCCCTAACAGCAGCGGCCTCCACAATATTTCTTATCACAAATTTTTTAATTGCCTTATCCTTAGGGACGCAGCGAGCACAGTTGGTGCATCGGACTGGATTTACATGGCCACGGCCATGCTTAGCACGTCCACCATTCCTACGTTTGCAAGTCTGTAGAAAAGATACAGAATTAGATCAAGTATATACTAGTGCACTTGTAAAATATAAACAATATTAAATTAGTAATATTAAATGGTAGCGGCCACGTGGCCACTTTATAGTAAACGCAGTTTTGGCACAAAAAAGAATATTAATTTCTCATAAAATTTATATTTTTAAATTATGTCCTGCGTTTTATTCCATTTCATATGAAAAATATTTCCAAAATGTCAAATGCGCCATGTGTCAATGTATATAAACTAATAAACGACAAATAATATAAATTACCATTTTGTATCAAGACTTTCTTCTTCTGCTCTACTTCTCTGTTCGGAATTCTGTCCACGAGTAAAAATGGAAGTTAGCATAAATAACTTTCGAAAAAAAATCGCTGCGCACTAGGTAAATAAAACGGTCGGTAATGTCATTAATCTTCATTATCCCCGGACCTCTCGAGGCCATTTGATCGTGATAAAAATTGCTCAGGCAATTTTTAAAATATCTCATCGGTGTTTAGAAAATCACATATGTGGAAAATTTATACTTTCTATTCAATAAAAAAAAATCTGAAATAATTTTAAATGTGAAATTGCGGTTGTAATATGTACAATTGTCCAATATGTTTGTACTGTGCAGAAGATATACATATATATACACATATATATATATATTATACTTGGCGTCGCGACGCTACCGCGTCGCTTGATAATTACATACATGTGATTGTCAGAGTTTGTACATTATAATGTTATAAATTGAATTATCTTTTTTTCGCAAAAAATATTGCATAAACAATTTTAGTATAAATTGCAATGTGTTTGTAATTAAATTAATTTATTTTATTATCAAAATTCTCAATTTGGTATAATTATCGCAACCTACACGAATTTTCTATTTATAAAAGTTTCTCCATGAATACACTTCGGCGAACAGCGTTATTGCAACCTTCTTTATATTTGTACCATATTCCGTGTTTTGTCAAAATATTCTGCATTACGGAATATCCCTTTTGCGATTTTGGGGAAATACGATTCGCCATTTTACTTTCGTTGTCGTTCGTAATAATATTCCCAAAAAAATCTTTGTATACCTGCAATTTTTTAATGTAAAATGGAAGAATATATTGCTGAACTATATAGTATAATACAATATATAAATCTTTCAAGTGTATAACCTGTAGGAAAAAAGATGGATAAGACTTACTACTTTCTTTAACGACGTCGCATTTTTTCCCGATTTTGCGCTATTCGGTAGATTGGAAGATTTATCCTTATTATCTTTATATATATTTTTTGTAGTTTCGGTCTTTTCTGAATTTGTCGTATTTTCTAACAAGCTAAATCCACCGAGTCCCATCGAGATACTTGCCCGTTTTAAACGCTCAACCTCCAATTCTTGCGCAATTATTTGCTGTACCGCGTATGCGAGATGCCGATGTGGGTTGCAATTGGGAAGAATACCGATTTCCAAAATATTACTAAAAACATTTATAAATTTTAATACAATACTGAAATATAAATGTGAATTATTTATCGTTGTGTCATTGTTGCAACATACGGATCCAAATTATAGATGTAGCCTCCTTGAGGATTCTTTTCTTGCACGAACGATAAACCAAAATCAAGCATCATGTTTATTATTCTAGCGAGATCAGCTTTCTCTTTCGGCGAATATAAATGAGAAGGCACTGTACGTAATTTGGGTGCTAGGAGATCCGGTAAAAAACCAGCGATGTCCGTAATTAAAGTAAAAGCATCGCGTCCGCATACTCTTCGTATCGCCGTTAAAATACCCGTATTTTTTGCCGATTTTTGAATTACCTAAAAGAAAACCGGCGAGGATAGCGATGTAATTAAACATTTAAAATACTTATCAGAATATATCAATTAAAAAAGATATATATTATATAATATCTATATAATTTATAAGATCACGTGATCTTTTTGCAAAGGAGTAATATTAGTTTTTGAATATAATTTACTACATGAAAAAGAGATATGTACAAACTTCTGAATCACCATCAACTTGAATATATCTTTGAATTAAAATTTTTTCTTAATTAGATAATACTTACTTCGTTAATAATAGTAGGATAAGACAATTTCACTTTTTGCGTTCGCGCAAGATGCAAGTGCCACGCATATATATACATATACGTGTCTCAAAATTATTTTGATAAAATATCTAATATCTTAAATATCACACATACAATCGCACAAATTCAACAATATAAAAAAAAATAATGTGAAATATTCTCTAATATAGGAATATTTCCTAGCAGAGAAAAATAACTTTATTAGACATCATACTCAGCTCCCGAAATTTTTTCATCAGTAATCCACCAAACTAAACTGGTGCAAGTTTCTCGTTCCAAATATATGTATCCTATTAGCATACCTTCGAAGATACCAAGAGCTATCCCTGCCAAAACATCGACTATGTGATGCTCTCTCATCAGAAGTTTGGACATGCATACGGAAAAGGACCACGCTAATAATGGTGGCACACATATTAACGGTATAGGCCATAGATTGAGAAGAAAATATGTGATAAATGCCACACGTGCTGCATTTCCGGATGGAAAAGAATCTTTCTTCAAAGAGAGATTGTCATTAGTTGTAGGCCGTCTCCTTCTTGCTACCGCTTTCAATACAGCAACTAAAATAATGTCTAACAACAAACCTGAAACACACACACATATATGCAATTTTTAATTTTAATATAACTCAAATATTATTCATTTTATTTTAAACTTACCTATGAAAAGATTGACTTGCATCTGATATAAGTCAGATTTGTTAAAAGCCCAAATCAATACAAGATTAGTTGCTAGCCATAATATACTATGACATGATATCTAATAAAAAATAATGAATAAGAAAATCAACATACATATATAATAGTGTTTTATTTTATTTAGTTAATAAAGAAATAATTAAATCTTACCTTTAAGAATGTGCGATGTGTTTTTAGTTGTCTCAAAGCTAAAAATTGTTGCGCCCAATTTACAAAAGCGTTAGTTAAATAAGCATCAACTGCTAGAATCGTCCTTAAAGTCGATGGGATTTCTCTTTTCTCTTCCTTAAATAGAAAATAAAAGGAAAAAAAATAAAAGTAAATCAATGCACATAATGCTCTCTGGATGAAAAAAATGTAAATGAAAAAATATGTATATAAATGGGAATACATATATGCTGAAAAGATTGAATACAATAAAATTAAATACGATAATGAATCACGAATATACAAAAGTGAAATGATAGAAATAAAATAAATAAAGTATATAAATGATAGGTTATAATATATCAATCAATACCATATTGTCTTCTACCTAGAGTTGACTGAAATACAGTTGATAAGTAAAATATTTAAAAATCACTATCGTTTCAATGAATCTCACATTTGTGTTGAGGCTTGCGGCCATCAAAACCATGGATCTGTTCTTTATAGCTGAACCAGCTGCACTAGTTCAGAGCTTATCTTTCTTCTTCCAATATGGAGAGAAAAAGATATAAACTCTGAACTAGTGCAGCTAGTTCAGTTATAAAGAACAGACCTCTAATCAAATACTAGGGCATAAGTGCCCAAACTTGCTTGTGTAAAACAAGCGATGTTACTAAATCATAAAATTGAAACCATTCCAGGGACGTGGATACATTATCAATTTTCTTATCGCAGACTTCAGGATAATTATGAAATATTCCTTGCGCCAATTTTTCTGATTCACCTAAATAAACGAAAAATATATATCTTTTATTTATGAATTACTAAATAACATTTATATTTCTAATAATATATAATGTAGAAAAATTACAATATACACTGACACATTGAAACGCATGAAATTAATTTTATTAATTTACCATTTTGCATTGTTCTCAATATATTCTGGATTCTTTCAGGTACAGGAACCACTCCTCCTTTATTCATAGGTACTGTTAATATATTTTTCCACGAATCAAATAAATTTTTGCGAGTATCCTTCAGGCCTAGAGATAGATTATCTTTTAAATTAGCACCACCCATGTACTGTAATGCCCCTACACAAGCTCGAACATCACAACCGGACCTTTCTGCTATTTTTACAAGATCACCAAAGTCTACATTTAACTTTTCCTTTCTCGCTATCTCCATTAGACGTTCTGCTAATCTTAAAGGACTTACTTCCGGTACCGGAATTATTATAGCAGCGGCTCTTAATGTTCTGTATAAATTCAATTTAATGTATTTAAAATATATCATTTGTCTTCTTTTAATCCAAGCATATTATATTTCTAAACTGTGTGAATATTCTATTTAGCACTTTTAGTTAAAGAATTACCTCAACGTTGGTGCATATGGTTCATTACAGATACATATTACAGGACGTGCACAGCCATCCGACGTTTTCTCCGATTGTCCCTTGCTCTTTTTAGTTTTCGATACTAGTTTACCTTGAACGAATTTTAAAAGAAGTTCGATGGATGCAGCCGGTGCACCATCAATCTCATCAAAAATTAAACAATTTGGTCGGGGATCCGCGCCTATTACAGCTTTCATCTCTGTCGATGCAAGAAGGATCTGTCTGGAACAAAAATGTTATGTAATTCTCGAATGTAAGAATAATATCATATATGCAAGTATCATGCATTACCTAAACGTATCTGGACTTCTTTCATCACTTGCGTTGATTTCTACTATATTATAACCAGCATGTCTGGCTGCTATATGTGCTAAAGTCGTTTTTCCCAATCCAGGTGGTCCACTGAGTAAGGCTATCCTTTTTACTGGATATCCTTTGCTATCTACTTCCTCAATATCTTTTTCATCATCGATATCTTTTTTCTTTCCAAATACAGACAACTGTTTTTTTTTTGGTTTCGCGATATTTCGATTAAATACTACTTTATCCCAAAGTTTCAGCCAATATAAGAGCTGTCTGTTAACTGTTTCGTCTGAGAGTAATTCTAAATACGATCGAGGACGATATTTATCTACCCATAATTCGTCATTAATTATGTTATTAGTATCACACAAATTGGATACTGATTGTACTGATAACTTGTTTTTTGTCAATATCTGTAATGCAGCAAAATATCATTATTATAACAAAAAAAGGATAGTATAAAGAAAAATCTCAAAATAGACATACAATTTCTTGCGCTTGAGCTTTCAATTGCTTGTAAGATATCGACAGCAGATTAGTAATCGGTTTTTTAGTCTGTTTAATGTCGTTTCGCGCATTCCTAACTCTGATGTATAAGCGTTGAGAATCGTACAATCTTGTGACCGCCACAAAATTCCAAGGTGGAACTCGTAAAGAAATGGAATTTTTCTTGCTGTGTTAAACATAAATACAATATAGATTAAACCAGATATCATACTCTATAATATATAAATCATAACAGAGTATATTTCACTAATTTCATTACTTCTCATCACATTTTGTTTTCATCACTGCATCCCCATCTTGTTCATGTAGTAGCTGTCTCGCATTCAATATTTTTTGGATGACACCTTCAGGCTGATCCCAACGAAGCTTCTTTTCTTTTGGCTCCTCGACAAAATCAACATCAACTAAAAAGAAAAAAAAAAGATTGAAATTTTCTAATAATATTTGAAGAATAATCAATCTTTTGTGTGTATGTGCAGTTTTTCATTGGTTATCATACCTGAAACATTTGTCCCTAAGAGATCAGAGATGTCACCAAACAATTCTTCATAATTGCGTTTTTTACTACTGCTAGGCATACTGTCATATAATTCTTCATAACAGCGTTTTTTATTACTACTAGGTGCATCGTTATCAATAACTTTGTCAAATGTAACAGAAATGGAAGTTTCACTGGCTGCTTGATTTTTGTTTCTGTTTGCTGTTTGAGATACTCCACTAGGACCAGGTCGTGCCAGTGTCTCAAGTTCTTCACACAAATATAACCAATTATGTAATTTGAGTTTAACGAATCATTCGATAATACAGTGAAAATAATAGTGTAAAGAAAATACTAAAATGTAGAGAGAAATATTAATATCTTCTGCATTAATGAAGAATCACATCATAAAGAATTTACCCTCTAATTCTCTCAGAGCTTCATAATCTGCTTGATAGACAAAATCGAATTCTTCGTCCGGATTTGGGAATTCATCAGCCATCTCGAGAATTTAATAGGCAGAATCGTTCACAATGTAAAAGTTAACTAAATGATTGACATTTTCATAATACAAAACTTTTTATGTGACGTTTCTTCCCGCCTTTTATCACATCGCGTATGACGTACAGGGCACGTGCAAAAATATGAATCGCCCTCTTGAAGTTGCGACTCGAATCATAACCGCACTCTACACATTTGTCGGTAATCATAAATTAGAGTTCTAGATTATCTAGGACTCTATCAAATAAGAATTCGAATATATATATATATTAATACAAGCGTGAACGTTTCTATTTCAATCAATTTAAAAATATTTTTCTCAAAATAAACATCTGGATATATCTCAATAATATTTTTTTTATGTGTTATATTATCATAATAGGATATGAAATAAATATTACATATTAGAGTAAAATAAATTTTATTGCACAATATTATTCTCCTTTTAAATATTGCAAGTATTATATATATATATATTTTTTATTAAGAGTTATGTGCTTTTGTTTCTTATATTTTAATATTTGTTTTATTAGCCACAAATTTTTTTTACATGGTTAACAAAATAGAATATCTTGTAATATAAGAGCACATGAGATTTGGAGAGTCTCGTTGCAATTTCGATTCAACTCACGCATTGCGTACGAAAATACGCATAGCACATTCACATTTACTTGACGTGCTAAGCGCTATTTTTATTTTTTATTATAAAAAAGCTCGTATCCTATTGGAACTCAGGAAAATTACTGATGTAAAGATTGAACATGTTGACAAAAGAAGTTTGACAAATACCGAAATACCGAATCCTGTTGGAACTCAGGAAAATCAATAATATAAAAGATGTAAAGATTGAACATGTTAAGAAAAGAAGTTTGACAAATACCGAAATACCGAATCTTATAAAAAAAGCTCGTATAAATTCTTCAAAACAATATCAAGTTCAGTTTTTCAATAAATGGTATTTCAAATTTATTATGTGCTCTAAAATATTTAATTATATATTAATTTTTTCAATTACTTTCATAACATAAAAAATGATATATAAATATTAATTATATATATCTTTTTAAACAAGTGTAGTAAGTTTTCTAAATTTTTAAGCACATGCATAATATATTGGCTGCCATCTATCTCCATTAACGAATAAAAATATCATAAGTTATCTACATTAATATAAGCTTGATTATCGGCATTTTCACGATAAATAGATGTCATTAATTACTCTGTAGAATGACTTGAGTAAAGAAAGAGCTGCGTGTACTGCTGTCTACTATTTCATGGCATTCTTAATATTATGCAACAAATTATTATGCTTCAGAAAATGTCTAAGCTCAAAATATAAATCATAGTCAATATAAATCTTTAAAAATCAATGCCACACAGATATAGTCTTTGGTGTTTATTTATGTTATTAATGGAAGCAAATTAAAGATATAAATTTCTCTTAATATGGAAGCACACATTGATACTACGTTTTCTTCTCATGACACAAATTTGTTTTGAAATGGCATGCTTCTTGTTACTGAAAATTTTACGCGCAATAATTCCATCAACTATATGCAAAAGCGTAATATTTTTACATAAATGTGCAAGAGATTATATAAAATTGTAAATTGCAATAAAATTATCTCGTAAATATTAAACTGTATAGAATATATATAATTACTTAAATACTGTGCATTCTTTCCTATAAATATATAGCTGATTAATATATAAAGCTACATCCTGTGTGGTACTTTCTTACTCAAAGAGTTATTGCAAAAATAAAGATTCAATATCAAGCTTAATATATCTGTTGGAATTGTGATCAAGTGTTGTAAAGATTTCAACATTCAAATGCAATTTGTGGATGCTAATGCAATCCATTTGCTTATCTTCTATGACGTCCCAGATACGCTTTACAATTTGGGCAAGTGTGATGAACATCCATGCATTCATCGATGCAACAAGGAATCAAACAGCAACCGAACCAACATCTAATATAAAAGAAGAAAATAATTTTACATATTACACAATATAAATCTACATATTTTTATAATTACCCCAACAGCGCTATTATGATTCCTGAGATATAAGCAATCATGCCAGGTTCTGTCTTTGTCGTTGTATCTATTTCAGCATGGCAATGTGGGCAAATCGTGTGGGTTGAGTGCGGCCCAACCGGAACAATAGTCGTTACTATAGTCGGTCCATTTGCATCTACAAAATAATAATATAATAAGAAATAATATACATTTGTACTAATTAATAATTATATAATTTATAATTTAGTATTCACAATATTTGTTATCAAGCTTACAAGCTTGCGCTGGTGTAAATGGACTGGCAGGAGGAACTCCTACTCCTACATTCTGGGAATAAGAGGGCGGTGCATATGGAGGCGGTTCATAAGGTGGTGGTGGTCCGTTTTTATGCATAGCGCTTATCTATCTGTTAACAAAATATGTTATAAACAAAATTAATTAACTAATTGTCATTAATTTTATTAATTCGATAATACACGAATACAGAACGCGTAACTAATATATTCGAATTCTGCCGTGCGACAAACGCGAACGTCACATATTTAAATCAGGAAAGCATGTGCATTTTAATCTATCTGATTTGTGCGTGTGATATAAAAAACACAAGGCGCGATATGCAAACGTAACAATTTAGCCTCGCCAATTAAAAAAAAACGGTTATATTAAAGACAAATTATCGTGCAAAATAGTTGTTTTAATTTTCTCCAAAAATAATAATATTAAAAATTAAAAATTGAAAAATTTTTATTTTTCATTTTCAAATTTTCAAATTTCAAAATAAAGAATAAAAAGAATTTTAATTAAAAAAACTTAGCCATGCTAAGGTAAATAATATGCTATGTTTATAAAATTGACAATGTCTAGAATCCAATTAATTTTATTTTTTATTTTTTTTTTTCTGGTCTCGTCCATCGTGATACATCAGACATGCCACGTAATTGTAAAAATGGAACAGTCATCGTAAGAATATCGAGAACAATAAGATCCATGACGATCAGTCATTGTTTCATCTTTGAATCTCAGCTAATTTGTCATGCAAGCAAGAGAAAAAGTCCGAGGAAATAATCTCTCGCAAATTGACGATGAACGACCATATATGACGAAATAAACTCGCGTCGAGGGCCGTTGTCCGAATACGTGCCGAGCCGATTACGAAACTTGACCCGCATCTCAAATAACATCCCCGCCCTTCTTAAAGCACAGTCGCTACCATCAGACTGCATGACACTGTGCATATAATGTTTTTCACGCTCATTATGTCACAATTATCTACCTATCTTTGTCGAACAATAGCAAATCGATACTCCGCTCAATTATCACGTTCTCCGGAGAGATCCGATTGTTTCTAATCTCTAAGTAATACTTGTCACGCAACACTGTAGAAAATTAAATCACCCGCAAGCTTTGCGTAAACAACGGGAGACACTGTGGATTACATACAGTTTGCACAAATGGGTACGAGATTGCATGAGATGTATCCGGTTTCGCTGGTTTTCACGAAGCTTCCATCTACATAATGTTGGTTTATATCGATGGCATACCGCTGAGAGGAATCGCACGGCTTGTTTTCAAAGTGTCAAACGTCACTTTCACATCGCGCGCTTTATTCTTCCATAGTTTACGATATGATGTATATGATTTAAGCAAGAAATTGCTTTTAAATTATATTTATGTCTTATTTAAATAAAGAATTAATTTATGTTAAGAACATATTATTAATAATATTATAAAAAGAGCATAAACATATAAAATTCATAGATGGAGGCTTTTCGGGTTGCGTTCCAAAATTTATTCCTTGGAATGGAGTAGCATTTGATTGACCAATCAGAACATGGAAATTTTGGTTCCGTTTGTTCTGATTGGTCAATCGAATGCTTCTAAAATTATGACGTCAATACGAACGCAGTTCTTGTTTTTAGCCCTCCGTCTATAAGATTGTGGTTTAATCAATGTATCACGTGAGCCATATACGAAGATCTTCTCATGTGATCCTCCCAGTTTTCGACAGCTCCAAGAATTCGTATTTGATAGACACTTCGAGTTTCCGTTTGTTTGCGAGTTTCAAAGAAGAACAATAATCTGATAAAAGAAAAAATAATAGAATGGGTGCAGCCGCGTTACCTGTAGTAGTTTTCACGATACTCTGGGGCATCTTGTTATTCCTAGGAGTAGCTCTACCACTTTTCGTTCCCAAGGGACCAAATCGTGGGTAAATAGACTTTAATTAAGCCATCATTTACTTCTTTACGCTTTTTACTTATACATAAATCTCTTACAATCGACGAATATTTATTTCTTGTGTTTCTTTTATAAAGAATCAAAAATCTTATAATCTGACAGTAAAATGACAGTACATATTAAGATGATAATCATTTTAGGAAATATTACGATATTCTTTAAGCAAATCAGTGTTCGCTAATGTATCATCTACATGTTTTAATCAAATTTTAATTATATTAATATATGTTTCCAGGATACTTCAGGTTCTGTTAATATTGACGGGTTTTACGTGCTGGTTGTTGTAAGTATATTCTTTTGATACTTTCATATGTGTTGTAACTCATATATTAATATACAAATAAAATTTTTGATACAGCTGGCTGTGTTGCTACATGGCACAAATGAATCCACTGATTGGGCCAAAATTAGATAATGTAACAATATTAATTATGGCTCGAGAATGGGTAAGTCATTCCATAATTAAATTTTTGTCCAAGTTAGTATTATTTTAATATTGTTATAAGAAAATTGTGTAAACAATTTAAACAATGGTCAATAATTTACATTTATGAGTATTCATTGATTACGAGTTAAATACACATGTTAGAAAATGCTTTATTGTTACAGGGTAAACCTATTGTCAACTAATGAACATTTTATGGTAGAAACTTGCTTTTGAATATATATATATATCCAATTCTCCGATATACGCTACTTTTAATAAGAATGTGTAGTTGCAAAGATAAAACAAAATGTTAGTACATTGATGATGTGTATAAATGGAATCTTATATTAATGTGCGATTATAATTTGGTTATTGAGAATTTAATTTTTGTATAAAGTATACATTATTGTTATTTAGAAGTGCATAAGAATTTTAATGATTATATTTATCTAGATTTATCCAACTATATATGTATGCTATAATGTATGTATGTGTCAATATTATTTATATAATCTAACTTAAAAAAGCATATTCCCATTACAAGATAAGTATACCACTGCACTGTATATAATTGTGAAAGAAAAAAAAATTAAAATAGCAACCGTGATCTTTTATATTTATTCTTATATTATATCTTTATTGTTCCATTCTCTTGTCATAAATTAATTAAATAGACTTGAAAAAATTTGTTGCTCCATATTATTATACAATAAAAAGAAACTATTATATAAATTTCCACATTTATATGCGATACGCATAAATTCTATTTTTTATAAATAGCAATTTCTTATATTGTATCTTTTTGGATACAGTATATTCTACGTGCTTGGAAATATCTGAAACATTACATTCAGAGAATACATTTCTTTGTACATCCCATTTCCATAAACTTTTTTTCGTTAATCTCGCAGATGAATTTATTCGAAAATTTTAGAAACATTCTGTATGTACATCAATTTTAAAAACATCCTGTACAGGCTGTTAGTAAGGCTGTATACATGCGCGCGACGAAATGGCTTTGTATGAATGTGCAGCCAATCCGTACGTCGGACAAGCCTGTTTTGCGTCGCATGGTATGAAATATTAGCTTTAAACATATCGTGGCATCGGTCTTCTCTTTGCTCTATGCAAATGTCAAATGTCAATTGCGACGACAAGCAACACAATAATAATGGAGGCGTGCAATGCTGTCGAGCGTGAAGTGGATAAGGTTCTATCGAAGTTCGGTGCAATAAATGAACATGCCGAAGCGGTGTTACGCGACCTGATCAATCACATTCAATCCCTGAAAAAAGATCTAGAAGAAGGTAAATGCGGGATTGAAAGATTCGCTATAGTATTCTGCCTTTCCCCAGATACTTGCCTTTTTAATCTTAATTTTCAAAGAGAATTTAATGATCGAATCTCTCGGGAAGCTTGTATCCTTTATTTCTCGTTGGATTAAATTAATTTTTCGATAGATGGATCGTTATTTATTAATGTGTGTGTCTGTAGTTTATTTTGAAGTTTGCTAACCTTTCTAAACACAACTCTGTGATGGAGATTGCATACTTTATTTACCATGTATTACTGATAGAATGTCTTTGTATAAACTAGTTTCATACAATCTCATAAGGCAATCTAATCAGATTCAAGTATAAAGTAGAATATTTATTTTTATATTTATTTACATTATTATTATTTCTTCTTGATATTGAAATATATCAATCCCTGTTAATATATATTAAAATATCATTCTATTATTGAAAGAAAATTGCCCATATAAAAGCTATACCTAAGCTTAATATATCTTTCATGTATATGTTAATAAAACAAAAAAGAGAAAAACAATTTGTTTATTTTGTATATAAAATGTATGATTTTTATATTTTATATAAAGAAAAATATATATATATGTACATATATAAAACATAGTATATGTTATATTAATATATCAATGATTATCAAAACTATGTATAAATTTTTGTTATTTACATATAAATGTATGTATATATAAAACAAAATATCTCTTCAATTTGATTATAAAATAATAGCTTGATTTTTTTTTCATTAGCACCATCTAATCAAGAACTGACAGCTGGCCAAGTGCAAATGCTAAAGCAAGCAATGACAAAAGTACGCGACACTGTACAAAGATTGGCAACAGATCATCGTGATTTGCATAGTACAGTATCAAAAGTGGGCAAGGCAATAGATAGGAATTTTATTGCCGATTTTGCGAGTACAAGCAGAGAGGATGTGTTTTCTGGACCTGAGAAGTCTCATCTTCTAAATCAAGTAATCTGTCAACACTTTTACCGTGAAGGGATGTTAAACATTGCCGATGAATTGGCAACAGTAAGTTTCTTTGTCCAAATTTATATGTGTGTTTAATCCATACTTAATGTAAAAAAGTATGTATATGTATATAGTAAAAATTAGTATACACAATATTTTATTACATGTTTAGAATAATAATGATTTTATTTTTTTAATCCTGCTTTTCCATTATTCTCCAACTTTTGATACTTATATATTCTTATCATGCAATTGCATACAAGACTATAATTGATGATATCTTCAGGAAGCAGGCATTAAAACCGAAGGCAGAAAGGAAGCATTTACAGAGTTAAATTATATATTAGATTGCTTAAAACAGAAAAACCTGGAACCTGCATTAGATTGGGCTAAAAAACATAGAGAAGCACTTTTAGAACAGGTATTTCTCGAATTGTAAATATATAAAATTTATTACATATTTATTTCATATTATTTGCACATAGATAATATATGAACAATACCTTAAAACCTGCACATTTTGTTTTAGAATTCTTCTCTCGAGTTTAAACTGCACAGACTACATTTCATAAGATTAGTTCAACAAGGCCCTAGCAAGCAGAGAGAGGCGATACTTTACGCCCGTCAAAATCTCACGCAATTTGTCGGACGTTATGAGAAAGAAGTACAGTCCTTAATGGGAACGTTACTTTATTTGCCACATGGAATCCAATCGTCTCCCTACAGTCACTTATTAGATCCGACCTTGTGGCTCGAAATACACGATGTTTTCACTAAAGAAGCGTGCACGTTATTAGGCTTAAGTGTTGAGAGCCCGCTCTCTGTCTGGTATATATACATTATTTGCTTATAACTAAGAGGAAATTATAGAGCTGTCTAAAACATTGCAATCTACTCAATTATTGCAGTATCAACGCAGGATCCACTGCATTACCTGCACTATTAAACATCAAACAAGTCATGCAACAGAGACAAGTAACTGGCATTTGGAGTGGTAAAGATGAATTGCCTGTAAGTTATAATATTATGCAATGTGTGACATATTGTATTCTGCAATTTGTAATCATAATTTTAATAGTAAATCCTCTGATTAATTTGGAGTTTATTCTAGTCTAGTATAACTGTGCGATAATAGTCTAATGATTACAAGTAATTTTTTAGTCTTAATTTTTTGATTTGAAATAATGATATATATGACTTTGATTGAAATAAGTCATAGGATGTAACATAAAATAATATCTCTATTACTATCAGTTTTATTTTGCTATTATATATATATATATATATATGTGCTACGTTGATAGCGGAAGGGTTAAGTAGTCATTAAAGCTGCAAAAGATTTATGTTAAAGAAAAATTGATTAAAAATTTATCAGAGAATTCATTATTAAAATTAAGATTGCACTGGTTGCGAGATATTCTATTTATATATTCAAATGTATATAAAAATTAAAATATTTGAAAATATTGTACAATCTCTCCATGTTCACAGATTGAAATAGACTTGGGAAAGCAAAGTCGTTATCATTCAGTCTTTGCCTGTCCCATTCTTAGGCAACAGAGTACAGAGAATAATCCTCCGATGAAACTGGTTTGCGGCCACGTTATCTCTCGAGACGCGTTAAACAAACTCGCTAATACAAATAAGTAAGTCTTTCATATGCGGCAAGGCTAGAGTACATCAGCGTGTTTTAAGTGCTGATTTAAAGTCACTTTTTAAAAGAAATCAATTTATTTCTAGGTTGAAATGCCCGTACTGCCCGGCGGAGCAAAATCCCGAAGATGCGAGACTCATTTACTTTTGAATTCTGTGATATATATTATATATGGTAATGTATAAATATATATATGTGTGTGTATAGGAGTTATATATACACATGTAAGAAAGCTAGTTTTGCAGTTTCTTTGTAATTGATTATATCAAATGCAAAAGAATTTATAACAGAGTATACATGCAATAACTAAAGAATTGTAAAATCCCATATTCTACATGATTGATCATCAAAGAATTTCATTGCTCCAAATTTTATTTTTGTTATTGATACCAAGATTAATTCTACTTGTTCCACAAAATGCAAGTGTAAGTTTGTTAATTGCATCAGTCCTTGCAATCTTTAAAAAAAATTAGTTCTCAAATATTGAAAGAAAAAAAAAAACACGGAGGAACTGTGATAGTTTTAATATTTGTGAAGTAATTGTATAATTATGCAATTATATATTGTTGGTAGACTATATATATATTATATACATGTATGTACTATTCTAAGTTTATATAAATGACTTCAGCTTTGTATGCGAGTGATAACTTAAAAGCCATGTATGTGTGTAAGATGCCTAACGAGTTTGTTATTAGGTCTCCATAAACTTACCCATTTCTCATTTCAATTGTATGTATACTGGCTTGGTTTAAATGAAGTTAAATGAAGATCATTTTGTAAATATGTTCTTACATTCATTTTTGACACATCCTAATACTTGGTAATTTTGACAGATAATTGTATAAAGAGAAGAATATGTTATAATAATAAATTAAAATTAAAATTAATACTGCTAAGATTGAGATTTGAAAGAATATTTTGAATTAACTCTCTGGTACCGCCGTAACATGCTATATTCGGCGTACGATAAAATCGATCAAACAAAAATAGGAAATCGCATATTGCAGTGGTGGCGATAATCGTATGTAATTCGTTCAGAAAGTTGATAGAATTTGTTTTCTTAATTTAGAATATATCGAAGAGAAAACATTCTCTTCTGGTTTTTCATGTGAAGGAATTTTACATAAGCATAAAACAAAGTATAATTTCATTATAGGAATCTCTGATAGTATGAAGAATTCTAAAGGTAAGCTGATATATATATCTGTGTCGATTCAATTTCAATGCAATAGAGTAGCAAAATAGAAAATAGAAAATAATATGAAATATACAACGAAAATGTATAAGAATTATTAAATAAATTCTGCTCATATAAGCGAGATCTAGCTCGACATTCTTTCCGCCCCTACAATCGACAAACCGCCAAACGATTGATGGAAAAGATGAGCTTATCCGTGATGAAAAAATCAATTCTGTTGAAACACTGCCACGTATGGTCGATAAATTATTTATCAGTGAAAGTACAAATAAGCGAGATATCACGAATAAATTAATTCAAGAAACTACAGCTCAAGAAGATATTATGGAATACGATTTAAAAAGAATGACGACTTCTTTATATGATATTGACGAAATGTCTTCTGAAGAACTGTATACTTCTCTATGTAGAATTACAGAAAATCCACGACAGCCGTTTTCATTTTTAGCAAATATCTCCAATGAATTTTCTAACGGCAATCAGTCGTCGATAGAGACAGGGACTACGGAAATCGACGTAAGCGACTTTGAGCTCATTTTCTTGTAAGAGTTACTTTCAAAATCGTTTCGTTCATATTTTATGCGTTCACTTCGAAGCTAATTAATCACATTATCAAATTGTTTGAAACTGCTTATTGATTTAGATACAATTAGCTGCTGTAGCGAAGCATATTGAATCGAGTAAAATTTTATTGGATAAGGCTAAATCTTACGTAGAAGATATACGTCTTCGTGCTAAACAAAATGTTTGTCCATCGTCTGAAATAAATGGCTGTAAGTAATATACCATAAATACCGAAAGTATACTAATTTCTCGGTATTAATAAGTTTTTACATGTACATATAATTTAAATATTTTTACAGATTACGACGATAAAACTAAGATAGAAAAAAAAGAACAGTCCTCTTAAACTGTTTCGATCCTGTAAACTTGCAAAAAATACGAAATCTTTTAATCAGAGATCTTCAAAAGGCCATTTTTTATTCGTTATGTGTTACGTGACGCAATTTAAATGTTATATCATTATAAATAAAAGAAAATTCATGAAATATATTTTTCACACGTTATTCACAACAAAGTGAATATAAAATTTAAAAAATGAAAATTACGCATGATTTGCTAGTTACGTATACACATAACGTACATTCCTTGTCAAATATATAAATTCATGAAAATGAAGTTAAATTGGGTTTAATTGCTCCCCCACAGCGTGAATTAAATTGCCTAGATCAAATATGATATCTGATGACATCACCATAACTTATCCAGCCAGCAAAAGGAAAGAACACTCGAATAACTTACATTCTCTCATATGAAGAATAAACAATAAAGCTGTTTATAAAAAAGGAACAATTAATTCGAAGGTAGGGACAATCAATGCGTTTAATCAAAAATATTATATCGTTTCTTCTTGATGGAATCGAGCGCACAAAATTTCTGGAACCATATTGACTTCATTGTCGACTTTCCCGTATACGCGCCGATCATTGCTGAAAATTGCTTCGACAATTTTAGATTGTTCTATGTCGGATTGATTGTTATAAACACGCTGCGAATCGCCGCGATCGTTCTTGTCGATGGACCATTGCAACGCGATCTCCTTAAACGGCTGCAAGCAACTCGCATTTTGGCGTATGTTCTCCAATTCTTCATCGCAAAGACGTTCGACTTCTAACAGTCGCTGCTTATACGCATCGATGAGCGCGCGTTTGTACGAATTGTAACGTTGCTCGGCTTGCTCCAAGGAATACGAGTTTTGATACTTGGCGAGATTTTTCTCGTATTCGAGTATGGTGAGTTCTCTGACACTCTGCTCCGACGTGATGTCCACAATATTACCTACAAGTTCAGTCGAAAGTTAGAATAAATATAGGAAAAAATATATACAAGTATATAAGTATATATACTCTATATAGAAATACATATACAAAAATTCAATATTAGTAATCGTTAGGTTTAAATCACTCGAAAGTGGTGATTCGACGGCATAAGCTGCGGCTGCAGCTCGTGCGGCTGCAGTTGCCTCTTCGAATGCGATGGCATCGCTTCTCTCGCGTAAAAACTGAAATTCTTCCCTCTCTTTTTTCCAGAGAGCCACTTCTTTGTTAAGTTTTTCCCGAAGACTCGTCATCTCTGAGCAGAGCTTCTGAGCACGCTCATGAAGGACAGATCTGTCAAATCGGCAAAACTATTTTCGTAATTCTGGCTACAAAAGAATTGATTTTAAATTTGTCCAAAAATTTATTTCAAAGATATTTTTATTTCGGGAAATCTCGTTTCAGGTATTTTTTAAATATTATTTCGAGAATATAATTTATAGAAGTGCAATACGCGATTTTTTTTCCACAGTCAATGGATGATTCTATATCTGTCGCGACGGAAAGTTGATTTTCGACGTCGAGCGACGACGTTCGTTCAGATGCGTCGTCATCATCCGACATCTCGGTGTAAATCGCGGCTACATTTTCGATCTGCGTATTTTCTTCGTTTTGTGCACATTTCTCTGAATAATATTTGGAAATTTCGCAGTTTTGCGACTCCGAATCTTGAGGCAGGTCGACAGGCGTTGTCTCTGTCGAGACAACGCGCTTGTCGTCCATCACGTTTTGTTGAGTATCTGACAAGGGATATCGTTGACAATCGAGAAATTTTACGTTTATTAAAAATCTTAAGAGACCGATCTCCGAGATAAATTACATGCGCTTCCGTTTTGTTTTCGAGAAATAAAGATTGCATTTACACAAATGCGATCGCGGTGGCATCGATCCTTTTCTCATCTCTAACATAGATATATGGCTGCAATATTGTAAATAAGAAATTGTTCGTCGTAAAATTTTTATATAATTACAGATAAACTTTATTATCAAATATACGCATTGGAATAGATTTTCTAATGCATAATGTAATCATGAAATATTCAAAATGAAAGCATATATAAGAAAGATGCACCATGTGTTTGATGAAAGAATGTACGACGACGATATAGGCGAAACGGATGAAAGAGAAGTATGAAAAGCAAGGAAAAAATTGGGAAAATGCATCGTACTTATATTGCATGGCGTTATATATTCATCAATGTAGTAACGTAAAAATAATTTTTACAATATGTAACAACAAAAAATTTGCACATTTAGTAATATTTATAATCACTTCTACTCGATAGAACTTGAAATGGCTAATGATGTTGTAGATTAATCCTTAAATACCTGTGCAACGGACAGTTCTTTCTCTTTTATAAAGAGAGAATCAGATTTCATGTCTCCCGAAAAATCAAGAATCCTCTTGTTGAAGCACACTGAGACTAGCTCCTTCGTTCCTCTTCGTAAAAAAAAAAAAAAAACTATTCTTGAAAGAAAAATCGATTGGTTTATATTGATCTGATGCACAAGTATTTAAAGATTATTCCCTGCATATTAATAAGATATTTTGTAATCGTGAATTGCAACGATGAATTGGCAACACTTTATGCTATTCACATCGTCGATCGTAAGCGCTTGCTTTAAGGAAATTGGCAAAGCAATACTGAGAGACAAAGATCGACATAATTAAGCCTCGTTGACGTCTCGCAGTGTATGTCATATACATATATATACAATAAGATGACCACCCGAAATTATTATAAACATTTGAAAAAAAAATTTATAACATATTTACGACATTACGTCCATTTAATTACCCTGCTAATTCTCCGGTCGACACGCAGAGATATATTGCAATGTTTGATTATCCATCATACTTAATTACAGAACGGCCTGAATTATATTGATCTGACTAAAATTTGTAATTTTTATGTACAAAAATCCTCGATACGATATGCTATCAGGCCGCGACAAAATAACATCATAGCCTATCGTTATCGGCATCAAAGAAATACGATATAGATATATAAATTCAAATCGATCTTAGTGTCAATATACCAATACCAAATTACTATTTTCATATTAAGATCGATTAGAATCTATGCTCAAATGTCATTTACACTATGTACATTATGTACATTATGTACTCGCGGAGAGCTCCATAAGACAATCATTGATAGCGCAAAGAGCGACCGAAGGTAAGATAACAAAAGGATGAGCAGTCTCTTTACGCTGTTTGCACTTCGTCGACGCGCATGGCGTGCGCGTGACGTTTTACACATCCCGACCGTCTATAAACGTTCAACGTCTAACGTGAGATTCGATTTGATATTTTTTTTTGAGTATATATAACAAAAGATAGACAATGAACTTTAGATTAGCTTAAACTTTAGATTAGATAAAGAAATGTCCGTCTAAAAGCCTAAACGCTTGAGATGCGTTCGCACTGTTTGATTGGTCCCCTTGGGTTTGTCTCCTTGCCAACTCTTGCTCTTGTTGCGAAAGAATCTGAACTCCCTCTCATGATTAGGATGTCTCATCGGTTTGTAATCCTGCGGCAAGCAGAACTCCTTCTGTTCGCCATAAAACTTCTCGTAACCTCCTTGCAGTAGATAGATCTCCGGATAGAATAATGCCGGATAGCGTTCCTCGTTAAACTCGCGATCCATTCTGCGTAAGAGCCTTGAGAGATTCGGTCCGCGTTCCCAGGAGAATTCGCAGTGGAATATAAGGATATCGCGCTTCTCAACGTCGGTCTGGATCTTGGGATCAGAGGACGTTACTGGATCGAACAAGAACTGCGCCATGAGCCCCTTGTCGTAAAGATTCAGCGATCCCGCGATGTGACCGCCTTCATACTCGTATGGATATCGGCAATCGATGATCTTATAGGAACCGATACGATCGGCGAACTCGCCGCGCAAAAGCGCCGCCAACGTATCGGACGTTATGGTTTTTAGATCTGGATGATGGCCCATCGTAACCGGCAGTATACACGGCTTGCTGAAGTCGCCGATGAGATCGGTGTCGGTAACGCTACGATGAACCGCCCACTTGATGTTCGTATGCGTCTCGGTCTCGGACAGGCTTCTCTGCAGACCGAGTTTCGGACGCATCGTGGGACTCGTGAACGCCGATCTCGGCGTCGTATGTACATGGAAACTGTTGGATCTGCGCGACTTCTTCAGTATCGACTTCTCGTCTTCCGGCATTTCATCCGACGGTCGTTTGTAAGATGACCTGATAGAATGCGGCGAAATCTCCGAAGTTTCGACGCAGAAATGTGTCGGGGAATTCTCGTCGTAGCTGAACGTCCGCATTAGCCTCCTCGAGCAAGTCGCCGTTGGTGAACGAAATAGACAGGTGCGAATCTTTGACAGTGACGGCGACTTCGATAACGGTGACGATATTGCATTGATCTCTAAATGTTTGTGTGCTCCCCTCTGTATTGACCATTCTCTGGTCGATGGTTTTTTAGAGGATGGATTGTTCCGGGACCATTCAGGAGTCGTCGAGACGTCGCAGTCCATTGATGTCTCAGGCGCGACTATGTTGCCGGACAATAGCTTCGAGAGATCGCTTGGTAATTGTGTCTCATCGTCCATCGCCTCCATGTCGACGAGTTCATTCACGAGCCCGTCGTCCATGCTCTCGTATCCTGATGACAGGCTACGTAGAAAATTCGGTTTCGTTGTCTTTAGGTCACGCAGCAGAGAAGTTTGGGTATTGGGAAGCACTGGTGATTGCAGAGGACTATACAGCACACGTCGCGGTGCCGCGGTGCCGGTGGCGGGGTGAAATCCGTATCCCTTCTCCTCTTTGTCGCTGATAGAGCCTGCGCTATGACTGTGGCTGTAGAGTTTGCGGTTCTCCAAAGGACGTACTATTTTTCTACATGTCTAAACAGAAAGATTATGACGATAAATAATAAGATTACTGCAATTTAAAAAAATTTTTGGATGAAATCATTACAATTTATTTAAATTTTTAAAGAGAGGAAACATCCGCAGATATTGAAAAAAATCTTCGAGAAACCCAGGATATTTAATTATACACACATGTGTATAACTGAATTAAAAGCGAACTAATAGTCCACGCTTTTAATAGAAAAATCGATGTTTCCGGTGATTTTTATCGATCACCGGACGAAGGTCGAAAGGAGGAACGGAAGCATAGCGCAAGTCGTAGACGTTGATCACAGGAAAAGCAGAAGAGAGAGAGAGAGAGAGAAGGTGAGAGATCGCGTCGCTCAGCAGGTAGAGTCAATCGGGTCACCAGCGGTCATAGCCGGATGCGCAAGGTGTTGTATGTATTATGAACAAATCAGAGACCAATAAGCGGAAGAATACGAGGGGAGATAATTTTTTTGTAGCAAAACTCGCCGCGGATCCGGCTACCGCTATCTGCGATCGGCCCATGTAAATCGTCAACGTTAAAAATCAATGTATCTCACTCTGTGATAAGAGACAGCTGCAAATGCGTTTTCGGCACGCAAGTCGGATTTGTTGTTTGACTTATCATGGAAAAGGCTATTTATCTCGGAATGTGCGTATAATATCCGGAATTAAATTGAATATGTATAGAATATGTGTGGAAATCTCGCTCGATCTCGTGCTCTCTCTCTCTCTCTCTTTCTATTTCCATTATATAGTAAAGCTATAATTTCAAATCTAGATATCGTTATAGAATCTATCGGCCGAGTAATATCGTAATTTAATAAAGATTTTTTCAAATTGATTCAGTAGTTTCTGAGATTATCCCGAACAATGGAACAAACAAACAAATTTTATCTCTTTATAATATAGTGTAGATTATTAGATTTTTAAAAAAGTTTACTTAATATTGTTTTTTAAAAACTCTCAACTTAATGAAATAAATACTATATAAAAAATACTAACACATACATTATCGTGTAAAAATTCTTTTGGAAAAATTATGTTACCTTTTGCGGAGTAGGGTTGTACAAGCTGTTGGTGGCGTCGTAGTTCTCTTTATTTTCTTTTTCACATCCGTACTCGCGTTTACGCTGTCCATGCGGGCTTATTTGGTTTTTGCAAAAACCCAATATGTCCGCGTTTGTCATATCGGAACGACATGTTGTTTTCGTTAGCACATCTATAAATCTGCAAGTAAACGAACAAAGTGATTTAATTAAAATCATGTGTAAGTGAAACCATAAAGTCGTTTCATTATAATCTCGAAAGCATTACTGTGTCGAAAAGATATTATAAGCGGGAGAAAAGTTTTACTGATAAAATCAAACAATAACTCAGCATACTTCGCGGATAAAAACCTATAATTTTTTTTTTTAATCGATGAATACTGCACAAGTCATAAATAAAAGACACTGCTCTTGGATTAAAAATGTACTCTACGAAATTTGGGGATAAAGGAAAATATATTTTTTTCCTTTTTTGAAAAATTTGTAATGGATTACTCGAATCGTGATAACGATAATTCTATGACACACAATTGCGATAACAAGTTTGTGATATTTTCTTCGACTCATTAAAAAATCATTAAAAAATATCCACTCTTATATCATTATTACACTTCCATATTTTTTCCGGCACATAAAGCACATGGTCTGTGCATCAAAACGCGCATGTGGCCACGAGCACGTGTTTGGCGCGAGAACTTGCTACACGATCTGAACCAGGTAACCGGACTGAACATGTGACATCTCAGTTATAAGTACGCCTCAATTAAGTACGTACCGATTAAACCGTCAGCAATCTCTAAGAATATTTTAATACAAGCAGTCCATAATATAATTATAATTGATCACGTGGATCAACAGCGATTGCAAATGGACACTTGGATTCACTCCTTTAACACATCTCCATAAATACGGTTTAATATTGATTTTGTATGGCAAACTCGTTATATATATATATATCCTTCAATCGAAATTGCAGATGCAACGAGTATCGCTAATTTAGCACCGAGTACTTTCGCGTTTATCGTTTAATCGTTTATTTATCAATGTTGATTCACTGGCGGCACAGATTTCTAACACTTTCCGGCGTGTAGGATGCGAATGTGAAACTCGTATGAATCTAATTTTAAATCAGATGCATACAGAATCAGATCTATAGCTAAGTAGTCACAGGCCATTGGGACTCGAGATGGAAATATGCGCTATACTCTCACATTATATCGAGAAAACACTACACCATGCGAAACGTGCTGGTCCATCGTATATCTGCATACCTTTCCAAAGCGCCCATGTTATGTATATCGTCATTGCCAGTGCTCCTAATCAACGCACCCGTTGCAGGATGTTTAACCGTACGCAGGATGTCCATGACGCGATAAGACGGACTTTGACGGTTATCGAGCTGTACTTTTTCGACCAGAGACGAGCTCCTTATGACGTACGAACCGACCGGCAAAGAACATAGACCGCTACATCATCCGAATGCGGGATTCGGACTGGAGTCCCGCGCGCCAAAACACGTATTATATACGGCGGATACGGGGCGATGGTGGGGAGATGACCAATGACAGGCCGTGAAAGGGCCCGCCTAATAGAAAAAAGAAACTTAAGGGCGAGAGAAGGGCGAGCGCGGTAACTTAGGGCGATCGACCGCTATGGGGGGGGCCTTTGCATGCTCTCGTATATATGAATTTCTACGCGCAAGTGCACATATGTGCATGCCATCCACGTGTGTACGTTGGATCTGATCCTCGTTGATCGCTCGCCCTCATTCCCCGATGGCTCTCGTATAGGTCTTATTTTCTCGTGCGAAAGGGAGCGCCGACACGTTCCGATATCGAGTTTATTGACATCACACATTACTGCTGAGAATTTTCAAGCAAGACTAATTTTCGAATTTCAAGATCAAAACTTGAATTATTTAGACAATATATCGCGTAAAGTTAAGCCCGCTTTAGATTATCTATAATTAGTAACGAAATTTGGAAGGATTTTCCATCTATAATTTAAAAGTTATCTAATACAGAAAATATTTGAGGAAATAAAATAGAGCTTGTGTATGAGATGCTTCTTCGAAAAATATTTGTAAGAGCGTTATTTCGATGACGTACAGTTGGAAAAAGTCGATAAAGATAACAGAAGTATGTATCATAAAGAAATGTTCATCATAAATTTTTACTTTTCTTAATAAAATATGTGAGGTCATATGGTCGCAAGAGATTTTCTTTGAGACTGGAGAAATTCTTCGTTATATACCGACAAAACTGGGAAAATGGTACCTGGAGAATGGCCTTCTTATGCGTGACTAAAGCATCTTTTCACGTTTACGTGCATAAAACAAAAAAAAAATTTAAGGATTATTTTTGAAAGAAAATATAAGAAAATATTCGAGTAATCTGCGTAAATCAGAATAACATGTGTTATTAAGGGGGCTTAAATTGCATAAAAATCGATTAAAGCAAAGATATTTTAAAAGCAAAAGCATTTTAAACGGCTTGACCTTCAGGAACGTTTTCGAAACTAATAAAATTCCGAGACCTGGCACAACCCTAGGTGTCCTAACTTTAGATCCATCTTCTCTTCAAATTCGCAGAGGCTCCTATTCCGAACTTATCTCACACACTGCTAAAGAGATGCTTTTCCCAAGCTTCCATGTTTTCCGTTTCTGTTCCACACGCGCGCGCGTTTTTCGTTGCGGTCAGAACTTAGAGGAGGCAGGTAGGAAAGGTTGGAAAATACTTGGTTCCTTCTTTTTTTTTTCTTTCATTCTTTCGAATGACAATGCTTCACCTGATCGTCAATCCGCCACCCTCGCTTTCTTGGGGGATTTTCACATGGCAGGTATATCGTGTACCGCTAGGACCGCAGATGCCTCGCGGGCGCGCATGTTCACATCATCTTTCATCGTTTCCTATGCGACTACATGGCGAGATCCAGATTTTTTTTGGGGTGGAAAATGGGTATATATGTCACGGATCTTCCAAACACATCAAAAGGGAAAG